TTTTTTCCAAAAGCTTCGAGTAAATGGGAGGCAATAAGGAAAGTAAATCACTTAAATCAATTGATTCGGTGCAAGTGTCAGGGCAAATCAACGAGCTTGCTGGCGACAAAGTGAGTAGCGATGAGCGGGCAAATCACTTGTCAGGCCTAGTTTCCATTAGGAGTGATCGTCGCATCAATTGCTACAATGCCTGCAATGCTTGATCTATTATCGAACCAGTGCCATTTATCCTCCCTTTGCCTGGGCCATTAAAGCTTTCGCTTCGATTGTCGCCTATCGACCGATTGGCATTCCTTTTAGCCATCACTTACCGCCATTAGATGGAACAATGCATAGTGAACCGTAAAACAGTTGTTGTTGGGGAATTTATTGGACTACTCAGACAGTGTGTACAGTGAAAACACTCCATAGACAGCCGACTTGATGATGACATTTCAGCCGGCAATCGTCCAGAAGTTGTTGCCCGAATACTGTGCGTTGTGGCCAGCCCAAGGAATGACTCGGTAGGCAATGGGAGTTCCGTTCCACTGATCGTAGACGCGAATGCCGGCGGCTTCGCACTGCACAAAAATGGCAGTGTGCTGGTGAAGGTGAGGCTCATCGTACATTCCGTTAGGACCGAGGAAAGTGGCGATGGCAGTTAGTCGAGGAATCTTGTTGCAGTTTTCCTTCACGTGGAGGCCTCGACGCCAGCTGCTGGTCAGACCAATCTGCCGATTTCCAGGCTGCCGGTGACAGGACGTCTGCACCAGAGCTGCACACTCCTGGTCTCGGCCGATCCAGTGGCCGACATGGCCAGCTGGATCGGCACAGGGCACAAAGGCAAATGCCTGTCCGATGAAGGCAATAAGAGCTACGGCAATGAAGAAGCGCATTCTGCCGATGTCAATTGTAGTTGTGCTGGCCAAATGATCATTGCGATTGCTTTTTATGCTTCACACTCCTCTTTACCTCATACTATTGGTAATGTCTAATCAACTAACACAAACTTTGCTTTAATATTTGTACATGCACAATGGGTGTACAGATGATTAGTTAGACTACCACTGTATCACCTCATCATCGTTTCAAGTATTTTAATTAAATTGTGTACTTTATTTAATTTAATCTGAAATCCTGATATTTGATTAATACGATAAAACTTTAAAACTTATTTGATCAGTAGTAAGGTCACAGACATCATAAATGTAAGTGATAACCTTTTAATCACAAGACGGTTTTTAGCACAACGAAAAAACANGTAAGGTCACAGACATCATAAATGTAAGTGATAACCTTTTAATCACAAGATGTTTTTAACACAACGAAAAAACGAAGCTAGATTTAGCTATCATTGAAAGCCAAAATGATTTATCTAAACATTTGAGGGTTGTAGATATGTCACTTTCTCTAGCAAAGATCCGTTTTCAGGAACATTTTAAGTCAACTTGGCAAAGAACATTTTTACAAATGATCTCACGTCGTAAAATAATTGCTTAATTAATATACATTAATGCATTCATGAGGGTAATGTGCCCTTGCCTGCAAATGAAAGGCGGTGCACCCTGGGCCACATAAAGACTCATTTATTTCTGCCACTGCTTTTGCTCGCTCTAGTTTCTGCTTGCAAAAGACAAAAAGACATCTACTTTTGATTTAGCACAATTGCAGTCATGAATCATCTTTCAGCGCTTAGTTTGCCATCACATTAGCGTCGTGCAAATTGAATTTTGTTCTAGCTCTTGCTTCTGCTGCACGCTGAACCCCTTCTTTCACTCGATCTCACTTTCTCTTAATTGTCATAATAATTGCCAATTATGAGTATTTCACTTATCTGTAAGGTGTTGCCTGTGTGGACATGAATCGATGCAGCTCTTCCTCTAACGAGCCTTTCAGTGAACTGCAACGCCATCACTTAGTGCCTCAAGTGCCTGCGAGCTTTGTAGGGCCAATTTAAATGACTATTTACATAGAATTACTTTGTTTAAATTGAATTGCCTAAATTGGCACTTGCTATATCTTCCGGTTTGTTGCCGTTGTGCTACTGTTCTACTGCAGTCATGTGAGATAAATTTCAATGCAGTCAACTTCAACTTCATTGTGGGCCATTTGTTTGCTTAGGCATACCCAAGAGGAGGCGGTTGAGGAGTTGTTTGTTTACCCGCTAATAACAAGGAATTAAATTTACAATTGTAAACATTGTGATGTTTTAAAGTTGGTTAAATTGATTAGACTGTTCGTTTGCAGTGTGCCTCTGTTGGCGGTTCTGGCTGGAGCAGCACTGGCTGGTCATGCCATGCCCAGCGGGCAAATATGCCCACTAATCAACTGGATCGACTGATGCTGGCACAGTGGCCATTGAAGCAAATTAAAGCCAACCAATGACTGTGCAAACAAACCTGCCAACAGAGAGTACCGCCACTGCTCCGGTCTAGTTATTATGCACAGGATGCACTGAGAGGGGATAGGGCAGAGGGCCAACGGAATATACATTGGGCGGCGAATCGAAGCGAACGCTGATTGTGATCCACTCGGCACGCAGCACTTGCTGGCGCACATCAATTATGAATTGTGCAAACATTTTGATTGTTTAGCAAACAAGCCTAATTTGCGAACATACGTGTTCACTTCTTAGCCAGTACTCTACGCTCACTTCCTGAGACGTGCAGAGCACAGTGGCTGGCATCACTCGGAAGAACATTAATTACCTAATCCATGCAGACAGTTTGCCAACAAAAAATACTAAAGTAGAATTTGTATGGCAATGCAAATTGATTTGGCAAACAATAAACTTTTTGGCAAAGCGCCTTTGAGCTAATCAAATTATGCTGACACCAAATTGGCTTCATTCTTATTAAGTGTCGAAAATGGAAACAGTTTAGCAAGTCGGCCATTGAGATGTTGCTTTCTTTAGACAGACACCTCTACCAAAAATTTTTGCCTGCTTTTGCCTAGCTCAGGCTACTTTGTTGCACTGACTTTGAGACAAAACTTCTAGAACGTCTAAAAAGCAGGTTTTCCTTTGACAAGAAAAATCGGGTGTTTGTTTGTGTCCAAGTCAAATTAATTGAGTCGTTAAGAATGGTTTTCACTGAGTAATGTCACTTTACAGGCCCTGGAAGCCTGCCAAGTGAAAAGTGACAAGTGGCCACTCACCATTGAAGTGGGATAAATTGACCGAAAGTGAGCCGCCAGTATAGTAAATCGAAAAGTGTTCTAAGTGGCCATCGTAATGCGAGGAAGATGATCACTTTAGACGGTAGCCCGATGGACGGTGCAGTTTGCCTTCAAAGTGAATGCAATGGACAAGAGACAGTCCTCCTGCTATCACTGCCACGGCTGTTCTTCTTCGCCGGGTGCTAATGGATGAGAATGGGCAAAATGTACATTAGGTGGGCTCGGTGAAGCGTTCTTGTCCTCTTCATCACTGCTCTTCCTCTCCCTCTCAGCCCACTAACCTCCGCTCTACGGTCTCTAATATGGATGGCCCATACGTTTCGCAGCGACAAATGCAGCAGAGCTGAAAGTGAGGCCACTCGGTGAGCACTGGATGTGGACGGTCTCCATCTCTGCTGCTACTGCTGGCAGGCCATTACGCACAACGAGGATGCTGGCACAGTGAAGAGTGCACAGTTTCCTTGCTGGTGTCCAGCTGTGTGTTCACCACCACTGTCACCAGTCAGACATTACCACTTGCCATTGTCTGCCACTCGCCCTCGGTAATTAATAAGGCAGTTCAATTTGACAGAGCACCACTGATTGGCCTTCTCCTCAGTGCATTGTTCTGCGTTCCTCCCTTGACCAGGCCACCACCAGTTGGCACGATGGCCAATTTATTTACTCTTTCTCCTTCAATTAGCGACGTCAAGTGCTGGTCCGCGCTTGCTATCAGCAAGCTCATCAGGGCATAACCGGAAGAATTAAGTTCCATTTGTATTAATTCATTTATTTAATTACTCACAATTAGAAAACAAAACGGCAGTTAATTTTTCAAGCAAACTCGAATTCGGCCGCTCGACGGAGTGCTTTACTTTGCCCGAATAGTCACTTTGCAGTAACTTTGCGCCCCGACAGACAGCGAACAGCAAACTTTGAGTCGCCTTGAATCTCAGTAGTAAATCAGCAGCAGCAGCAGCACTAAACTCGAATTAGTATACAGTGGTGCTTAATGAGCGCCCACTTAAAAGTCAGCTAAATAGATCAATTTCTCACTATGGTGCCCGAGAGAGCAGCACTGCTCGCACACAGGCACATTATGGCGATGATTAATGCCCCTCAGTTCCCGTTGTATGAGCATCGGACGGACAATGCAGCTCCGAGAGAGAGAGAGAGAGAGAGAGAGAGAGAGAGAGAGAGAGAGANAGAGAGAGAGAGAGAGAGAGAGAGAGAGAGAGAGAGAGAGAGTCGTTTTGCTGGCATATTCAAATGTGCCTAGCCATCGATCATCGCTGCACATGGCTGCTTTGCATCTAATCAAATTAGCGATATGCAACCAAAGTCAGTGCGCTTACTCATGCTTCGGTTTTATTGACTTTACTTTATTAGCAATCACAATGATTCAATTTGTGCACTTTAAAAAAGAAATAAATATATATATTTATATAGAATATATTCTTTTGATAATTTAGCGGTCCTCAGAGGCGGTACAAATATTTGAATAGGGGTAATCAATATTAATTGCAGCAAGAAGAAGTGGACAAGGGTAAAACGTAAACTCAACGGCTATATGATGAACTTGAAGATTGAGACAAATTCTTAACGCCTTCTAATTTTTCAAAATGTTTACGTGAATTGCGGATGTTTAGAAGAGTGGCGGCAGAAGCTGCAGTGATAAATAATAGTGTAAGCTATGTTCAATGAAACAGTTTGGCAAATACTCACGAATGGACGAGTCAGACATGATGACCATCACATAAGTGTTAGGGGTAAAACCATCGATGAATGCAGAAAACTGCGAGTTCTTAACTTCCATGCTTTGGAACTGAGCAGCGAGTTTGCTGCAGCTTAGCTTGAACTGCTTTATAATGTTAGATACCTTTTCAAATCTCTATAAAAGGTATTATTACGAAGAGTTCTAATAGGATATACTGTTACACTTACATGAACATCTTTGTGCTTTTTTCTTTCGCAGTAACAGATCACCAAGAATGTAGCTCGCTCAAACAGAAGCACCTCGTCAGCGTCTATTATTTTAGCAAACACGTTTAGATGCTTCTCCAATTCGTGCACGTTAGGAATTAGTGAGTAAATGATGGTGGACCAAGCTTTGTAGAGCGTTTCATCCCAAATTGACGTTCGAAAGCATGTGAAATCAAGTGGTTGAGATGCCTTTCTTAAACGACTTTCACGATCTTTGAATATCTAAATCAAAAACATTAGAAAAGGAGTTAAAAGACTCATGTTCAAGCATACTGATTCTCGTTGATCTTCTTGAAGCAAATCCATTTTGTGAATCAAGCAAAATATTTTCGTATCTTTTGAAAACTCCATGATGCCTTCAAGACAATTTTGGTAATAATGCATGTCTTTCTCTGTTTCTCTTGATTCAACGTCGAAAACATAAATCAGAACTTCAACATTTCTGAAAATGTTCTACATGTTTAGAAAGAAAAGAAATTAATACAAAAATGTCATTTGGATTTTTAAACAATTTACCTCTCGCTGCGACGCAAAATAGTTCTCCATGAAAGCTTCCTATAAACAAAATGTAGCTGTTAGATAAAATAATGTAATTAATTTACCAATAAGTATACCTGTCCACCGCAATCCCACAAATTGAGCACCAAGTTGCCTACATTTTAAAAAGTAAAAATACACTTTTCCACCAAAAACAAATGTTATTCTTACCAAGAAAACGCACATGGGTGTGCTCGACATCAACTATGGTTAAAGATAAAAATATGTGAGTGCTTTTAAAAACTACAAAAAGCAAAACACATACTGGTTGCACCAAGTCTTCGTGTATCTCGAGCAATGTAATTGGCAAAAATAATGGAGCGCATGCTAGTTTTGCCACTGCCACTTTTGCCCATCAAAAGAACCTTAGGAAAGCAGGACTATAAGTAAGATGAAAATTGTAATAGTTTCTATTTACCTTTTTCTTCATTTTGAGGTATGAAAAAAATACTTATGACGCTTTAAAACTGTCACAGGAATATCAAACAGTTCAGATATGTTGCAAGTTGTCAAAAGGGAGTTGAAAGAATCACTCTGTTTTGGTCGCAACATTTGCATCACATGACAAGCATTCACAAATGAAGTGCTCTTTGGGAAAAACAAAACTTGAAAATGCCAAGTAATTATGGTCCCCTTTTTATTTAGATTCTCTTTAGTAATTTTCTGTGTAATTTCGTTTACGACAGATAACATCCAATTGTATCATTACGGAAATAAAGTCGTCAGCAGGGCTTTGGTTCCTAAAGACAAGAAACACTGGTCTGTCACATGGAAAGACTACTCCCCTGTAGCTGTCAATGTCGACTTTGAAAATAAACTCTGGGCTGATCCGCAAATTAGGTTTGTGCTGATATGGTTCAATTTTAGTCTCAAAGATAACAATGCTTTTTTGAATGACAGTGATTCTAATTTTAAGCCTGCGTGGAATCAACTTGACGGAAAAGTAGACCGGAGAAGCCGTAAGTAAAGCATAATCTTTCCATTTAACTCTCTGATTTCCAATGATTTCAATCTTCAGATACCGGAAAATATTTGCTTGACAACAATGGGTATCCTTTGAACCCAACTGGAAGAACCGGAATTAATTTACGAGGAGTCCTTGGACGGTGGGGTCCAAACCATGCAGCTGATCCTATTGTCACACGGTAAAGAATGCTACAACAAGTCAGTGCCAATTTGACAAACAAGTTTTTTTCTAGATGGAAAAAAGACGCAAACAAGGCTCAAATGTTTCATCCAATTTCCAAGTTGCCAATTTTGCAGTTTATCGCAATTTTGCGCTCTGATGTAAACGAGTGGGCCATACCTGGAGTAAGAAAACCAGTGACAAGTTTAGCATGTCTATAACGTTTTGACTTTTCATCTAGGGTATGGTTGATGCTGGCGAGCAAGTGTCGGCTACCTTAAAGGTATATCTCCTCTAGAAACATTATTCCACAGTTTAATTGTATCACTTACTTTCCAGAGAGAGTTTTGCGAAGAAAGCCTCAACATGCTTGAGATGAGCCCTGATCAACGGAAAGCTTTGCAGCAACAGTTAAAGTCCTTTTTCAACGAGGAAAATGGTAAGCCTATTTACAGTGGATACGTCGAAGATCCTCGCAATACTGATAACGCATGGATGGAAACGGTGGCTGTCGAATTTCACGACCAGAATGACATTTTCGACAAGATAACACTCAACGCCGGAGATGATGCCAAAGGAGTGCGCTGGGTTGATATTGACCGAACACTAAATCTCTATGCAAATCACCTAAAGTTTATTGAGATGACTGTAAATATCAGAAATGGACATTGGTGAAAAAATTGTAAACAGAAATAAAAAAAGTGTAACCGATCATATTCCTTATGGAACGGAAAGCAAATAGATAGGAATCTGCAGATTAGTTGTTCCGCTTGACCACCTGAAGACGAGCATTGGGGACAAGGCCAAGAACTTGCAGTGACTTGGTAAAGTCTTCCTCCGAAAAAGGAGGTCTCGGAGGCATAGCCAGTGTGATATTGCAGGCAATATTCTTCTGTGTGACGACATAAGCTCGCACAGCGGAGAGAACTTCCTTAGCCTCAAACTCCTGGATGATTGAGGTGCCGTCGAGGAGACGAATGGCCAACTTGGTCTTTCCGTTGGCATTGCTCACAGGCGGCGGGATGGATTGCACTACCGGAGCAGCTGAGACGGCTGGAGCCGGCGGGGCACCACCGGCATTTCGAGCTCGGCGCTCTGCTTTATCCTGTTCGATTTTACGCAGAATCGCATCCCTGGCAGCTTTGTCGGATTCTTTCTCGCTAATAAGAATGATTTAGATAGACATAAGCAAAAGTATTCATAAGTAGTCAGAAAGTCAAAATATTACCGTCTAATGCTCTCAGCCAGCTTTTCGCGCTGAATTTTCTCAATTTCTTCACGCATTTTCCCCATGTCCTTTCCGTCTCTTCGACGTTGAATCTCTCGCTGTCGTTCGGCTTCTTTTTCAATTTCTACAATGATAAAGTAGAAGCCGAAATTAGCCGAAAATACATTGAGTTTATATCGGGTTTACCTTCAATTTCTTTACGTCGCTGTTTGATTCTATCTTCCATTTGCTTTTTCTTAAGTTCAACCTCTTCAGGGGTAGGTATAGCATTGGGGTTATCAGCTGTTTCCGCGCTCTTCGGATCAGATTCCATCTTAGCCGCTTCGACTTCAGCAGTTCCATTCTCAATTGCTTCAATGACAGATTCGAGAGTAGCTTTATCAGAGAGCAAGTGCAAAGCCCCCTTTCTGAAAAAGATCACTCAGGAGATCAGTTTGAAATTAAAACTCAGAATAAGAAATGACTTACATCAGTTTTTCATCAAAGCCCATCTCAATAAGTTGCTCTTTGAGCACAGCGTGAGAGGCCATCTTTATATCTGTCAAAAATGGAAGTTAGAAATTAAGCCTTACAAAATTATGAGAACATGTAAGCTCTATTTACGCTCCAGCTTATAAAGAACTGTAAAATTACCTTGGATTTTAGGATATGCCAAAGTAGTAAGTCTAAGGTCTAAGTCGCGGTAAATAAGACGTAAAATCTGGATACCACAACAATGATGATTCAGCTTGATAGCTCACTTTCAGCCGCACGTTTATGTTTTCTGCTTTTTTTGACGATAGATGTCGGAAAATTCCATTTCTATGTTTATAAACTCATTTCTTAAGAACTTTTGGCATTTTGAATTGTGACATGGCTGGTAAATCCAAAAACCGTTACTTTCAACAGAACAACAGTAGATCTAGGTCTCCGAATTATGATCGTCAGCAACAAAAATATGATGGTCAAAGCTCTTCAAAATTCGCTGATAACAAAAGTGCGTCGGAGCGATTTAAAAAGTCTTTACAAGATCAACCAATGGCTAGCACTTCGAAATCGCAGACAGTCCTAGTTCGTCTCTCGGTGGAGGAACAAGCGAAGCGGGTGAATTCCATTGAGGAGATCAACTTCAGCTCGTTTCAACCCAAAACCTTTATGCGCACACGAACTCCGGCGGTCAACCTCCAAGACATACCACTACCACGAGATGAGAGCTCTTGGCGTGAGAATCCAAAGCTTTTAATTGACTCAAGCGTAAGTTATATGACAGTAAAGTGTTGACATTATTTATTTAAATTCATTTATACAAAATATTATTAACACATTGCCCCAATTACCAACAGCTGTACTGTGGAGGCAATGCGGAGGGAAGAAAACAAATGTGGATGGAAAACCTGGCAAAACTACAGAAAGAGATGATCAGTGAATCGATTCAGTAGNACCTTTATGCGCACACGAACTCCGGCGGTCAACCTCCAAGACATACCACTACCACGAGATGAGAGCTCTTGGCGTGAGAATCCAAAGCTTTTAATTGACTCAAGCGTAAGTTATATGACAGTAAAGTGTTGACATTATTTATTTAAATTCATTTATACAAAATATTATTAACACATTGCCCCAATTACCAACAGCTGTACTGTGGAGGCAATGCGGAGGGAAGAAAACAAATGTGGATGGAAAACCTGGCAAAACTACAGAAAGAGATGATCAGTGAATCGATTCAGTAGAAGTGCACTTGCACACATTTGTACATACATGTGAATAAAATCAAATTGAATAATCTATTATTGAGGCGAAAATAAATGGACATAATCTACAGCTAGTCTCTCTTTTTCTTGTATGAGCTTCGATTTTCGTAGTTAGTCGAAGACTCGGTTCGTTTGCTCGCCTTTTTCACCTCTGTCAAGAACTGATCTAAACCGAATGGATCCTCCTCTTCTTGCTTCTCAAACTGCACCGGACCGTCTCGTTTGGTGGATCGATCAACGCCGGAGAACTCTTTGTCAGGTACAAATCGGTTCTTAGACAGCTGCTCCAGTTCGTCACCATAAGTATCGTTGTCCACTGTTTTAGAAGGTCGGTAGAGGCTCTGCGCTGTTTGGTTAGTGCGCCAGGCTTTGTCGTACACGGCGTAGTCCTCATCGTCGCCGAATCCACTGCTAATGCCTTTACTCTGGTTGAAGAGACGCTGGTCAAACTGAACTTCAGTGGCATTGGCGCGTGGATTGGCCATTCCCAGGGCGATTTGCTCGCTGATGTCGCGTTCCCGCTCCCGCTCCAGCCGTGTCCTCTTCTCTGGAGCAGCACGCATAATGTTCCGCTCGCGTTGTCGCTCCTTCTGACGCTCGTGGCGAATTTGGTCACGCTCACGCACTTCGTCATCTTCACTGTCCTCATCAACGACCTGCCTAATACCTGCTCGCTCTTCTCTGGCCTTTTGAGCAAGCTGTCGCAGGTTTTCTTCTCTCTTTTCTTTCTCCTTCTGAGCGAATTTCCGCTCCATCTGAGCCCGCATCTCCACAGCTTCACGGGCCTTTCTATCGGATATATACAACGCCTCGGCCAGTTTGGCAAACTTTTCATTGATGTGCGTTTGCTGCAGTCCTCGTCCGTCTGCGGCCAGGCGTTTGTCCAATGGAATGGTGTATCCCTTGGCGTTCTTCCAGTTGGATATACAGGGCGGAATTCGCCACTCTTGCTGCTCTTTGACGGTCAACTTTCGGGTAGGGCTGTGCATGACTGGCGGAGGAGGCGACGGGGGTGCCTGTGGAATCTTTTTGTTGATTTTGAAACGTGGCGGCTCAAGGGGATCATGCTGAACTTCAACGATTCGAATGATTCGCTGATCAGATCCAGAGTTGTGGCCTCCTCCCTGCTGAGATGGCGTATATCGAACGTACTGTGCTTCCCCTTGCTTCTCAGCAGCTCGTACTGGTAAGGCGGCAGATATTTTGGAGCTTGTCAACTTCTCCAGAGCAGCTTTCGTGGCTTCAGTTGACTTTTGAATCTCCTCGTCTCCTGGTCTGACCATCTGTTCGGGATTTAACACTTCCGAAGGCAATAGATCTTGCAGTTTACTGTAGATGACCTTGTTTTTGTTCGAGGACTGCCTCAAGATCATGTCGTACTTAATATTTCCGTCCACATCGTACTGGACTGGCAGCGCATTGCCCTTATTCTCTGGCTTACGGCCCATATCAAGTGGATACTGCACAACGTCGATTTCAGGGTAGGCACCACCGCCGGCGTAATCAGCTTCGCATCGTGGAATCCATCCTTTTCGGTGGCCATACTTGGGCACAGAACTGGTGAGGTACTTCTTTTCAGCCATGATCAAGTGGGCAAAGATTACAATCCACAACAGCGCAATGAAAACAAGAGAAAACGATCGTGGCTCGCTTTAATGAGAAGTCTTCCCGAAGGCAGGTTAGTTGGGTAAAAAAAGTTTCGCCAAAAAAGCGACTGCGCCGCACAGACGTGAGTTTTAGCTGGTGGAAACAATCAGTCAACAAGCGGCCTAGACTTTTGTCGGTTCTTCTTCTGCTCTTTCTCTCTTGGTCCACTTCCACCTTGATACACCGGCTCCTTACCTGAACCGAAACATGACTGAGCTGGATCAGTGGATCGAGATTTCCAAGCAGTGCAAGTACCTGCCTGAAAATGATCTCAAAGTACGTAATTGTCATGTGCCGAAACGTCAACAACGATGATTGACCACCAATTTCTTCCCCACAGAAACTCTGCGAACTTGTTTGTGATATTCTGATTGAAGAGTCAAACGTCCAGCCTGTCTCTTGTCCGGTTACTGTTTGCGGTGATATTCATGGACAGTTCTATGACTTGGAAAAACTCTTTCAGACGGGTGGGCAAGTTCCTGATACCAATTATATATTTATGGTTCGTATTGCAGCGGTTTTTCTTTGTTATTCTTCCTACAACTCTGTTTTGTTTGCCATCAATACAGGGAGATTTTGTCGACAGAGGACACTATAGCTTAGAAACCTTTACAAGACTGCTCACCCTTAAAGCAAGATACCCTGACAGAATAACATTGGTCAGAGGAAATCATGAAAGCCGGCAAATCACTCAAATCTATGGCTTTTACGGTATTGATTACCAATTTGCTCAATATATTCTGACAATCTTTTTGATATGCNAGGAAATCATGAAAGCCGGCAAATCACTCAAATCTATGGCTTTTACGGTATTGATTACCAATTTGCTCATACTCAATATATTCTGACAATTGCTCTTTTTGATATGTAGATGAATGCCTAAACAAATACGGCAATGCCAATGCTTGGAAATATTGCTGCAAGGTTTTTGACTTGCTCAATATTGCCGCGGTATGTAAAATTACATGTTTGGTTTTATTCCTATTTTGTAATGATGTTTCTTTTAAGATCATTGACGACCAAGTATTATGCGTCCACGGTGGCCTTTCACCTGATATCAACACAATTGACCAAATTCGAACCATTGAGCGAAATCAAGAGATTCCTTGTAATGGTCCTTTTTGTGATCTTGTCTGGTCAGACCCTGAAGAAGTGGACACATTCACAGTGAGCCCAAGAGGCGCAGGCTGGCTCTTTGGTTCTAAAGTAACTCACGAGGTTAGTTTTTGTCTGCTCTCAACATGTGACCATATGATTCATTGGGCGTGNATTCACAGTGAGCCCAAGAGGCGCAGGCTGGCTCTTTGGTTCTAAAGTAACTCACGAGGTTAGTTTTTGTCTGCTCTCAACATGTGACCATGTGATTCATTGGGCGTTTTTATCGATTACAGTTTATGCACATAAACAACCTCGAGTTGATCTGTCGGGCACATCAGCTGGTTCAAGAGGGTTTCAAGTATAGCTTCAATGATAAGCTAATCACCGTCTGGTCGGCACCAAACTACTGCTACCGATGTGCTAATGTAGCTGCCATTTTGGTTTTCAACCAAGCGAATAACAAAGAGGCTAAAATATTTGATGCCGTGCCTGACACTGAACGTACTGTCCCCAATCGCAAGTGTCCCTACTTCTTATGAGTGCCGTAAAAACTCATTGCATGCATCTGAATCCATTGACGAAACTAATCGTTGGTAAAGTACCGTCTTTTATCAATGATTTCTCAAAGTTGTGTTATTTAAAGCTTTGTATATTGTATTTTAAAATTTCAGCACGTCGTTTTTATTAAATGTATCAAAGCAAATATCAACTGCTCCAAGTACCATGACTAGACGACGGTCAAGTGCCTCAAGGTGAGGTTCGGTTAGGAGCGGCCACAGCAAATCATCGGACAAGAGGAACTTGGCAATACGGGACAACTTGAACTGAGCAGCCTTCTGCAGCTGTCGATATGTTGAGTTTCGCNAGCAAATCATCGGACAAGAGGAACTTGGCAATACGGGACAACTTGAACTGGGCAGCCTTCTGCAGCTGTCGATATGTTGAGTTCCGAAGCATGCAACACTGCAAGAGGGGAAACAGGATTGTGATTTCATAATGGCCAGGATCACCAAAGCTCTTTCCATTGTCTGCAAGTGATGGAACAACAAGTTAGTTTCCAGTTGATCAATAAGCACAAATTAACTTCCTACCAATCATCAAAAGCGCGCTATTTGGCACGTCCTTGAAAACCTCGTAGTGGTGGCGGTCTGCATTTCCGATGAGAAAGTCAAAGATGGACAAGTCAACGTAGTCCAAGAGGCGCTCTTGATTGGTGGACTTTTGCACCGAGAGACAGTAGTGAGAGTCATTCTCCCATTTGGCTTTGGTGTTCTTCTTGTACGTCCTCTGCCATGGATTGCGCAACTTTTGGAGTTTGTAGTGCATAGGCAGCATCAGTATAACCGCCCCTTCGAGACGATCATTATCATCGGCACAAACGGTGTCATACTCGTTGCAGTAGTAGCATTCTCCGTAGAAGCATTCCTGAGTTTGGTTGCCTTGAGTCTGATTGACGAAGGTACTAAGCAAAGCCTCACTGGCCGACTTCTTGATCTCCGTGGACACGTGCACCACACGAGAGGCAACTATCGGCGCGAATCGAAGTCCGAGAATTCTCGCTAGATGAAAGGCTAGAGGATGAAGAGAAGGTGTTGTTGTGGTTGAATAATGAATCAGCACTAAAAAGCATACCAAATACTTCGCCATTGTGCCGATCAGCACCTGAGTAGATGTCATCAGTAATGTAATCTCGAGGGTAGCGCTTTGGCTTGAACAGTGCAAACTGCTTCTTCTTTTCTCCTCCAGCAAGGGTGAGCAGTAGTTTCAGCTGAGTTCCTTTGCGGGAAACATCACTGGCAAGTATTGGCGCAGTTTGCAGGGCACTGAGAACCGATCCTAGTTCAGAAGCGTTCACGGGGGTAATCGTCCGAGCGCGAACCCATTTTCTCGCCAGTGTCCATACTCGTTCGTAATCCTTTGACAGGCTTTGATTAACCGACATTTGGTCCTTGAGAGATCGTAACTGCAGATCATTTTCAATTTTGGAAAAGACGGAGTTTTTCTTGATCAAGTTTTGCACCTTCACTTGAAGCTTCCTTAAAAATATTTGCTGAAGGGACTCATTTTTAGGCCGAACTTCATCAAAGGAAAATACAATCAGGGGACTTGAGCTGATGTTGTGATTCACGGTGATTTTCTGAAGGAAAGAACAAGGTTTAAAACCTAAAAATAAGATTGCTTTCATAAGATTTCCCTCTCACCTTAGTGTCCTCAAATGCGATCATGAAGTAGAAGAGCATCGACACGAGTAGAAGCGAGCAAAGAAGGAGCACGAAAACCACCCGGGTTTTGAAACGTTTGACCATCCTCCCACAATTGGAATCATTCTTGGCGGTGACCAGTCTTTGTGATGACAGCTTTCACTGTGCCATGCGCCACTGAGGGAGATGCGCGCGCCCAGCGTTTGGTTCACTGTCGCCGAGTCGTCGTCTGCTCGCCCCTGAACTGGGCTTTGTTTTCGAGCGGCTGCTAACAGTTGCTAACAGATTGTCCACTCTGCTGCGGCTGCAACAGTCTACAGTACAGTGCGCTGTGGTGCTTAGTGGAAATAGTATAGGCGACAGTGTATATGTAAAGTGGTTGTTCCCTCGCTGTTACTTAGCTAAGGGAAAGTCTCGTCAAGGCTTTACAGCTCCGCCGAAACATGCACAACAAACGACAATCCATGCTAATGTGCACGGAATCACTGGCGAAGCAGCACAAAGGATACCGCAAGGGCAACAACTAAGCAAGTGACAGTCTACCGTCTCCAACACACACACACACACACAACATGTCGCTGATCAACGTTCTCAAGTGTGCCTCCATTCAGGAGTCAAAGGACGAACTGCAGAAGGTCATTCAGAATGCGGTGGACGAGCACACTGGGGCGGTCTTCACCGTCGGCCTCTCCGGTGGCAGTCTTCCCACTATCCTCGCAGAGATTCTCCCCAAAATTTCCACCGACTGGAAGAAGTGGAAGTTTTTCTTTTGCGACGAGCGTCTCGTCTCCTTCAGCGATCCAGAGAGCACTTTTGGAGCGTATCGCTCCATTTTGGTGCCTAAAATTGCTGACTTGAGTCTGAATCAGTTTGTGACAATCGATCCAAGCCTCAAGGCATGGAACTCANCGCTCCATTTTGGTGCCTAAAATTGCTGACTTGAGTCTGAATCAGTTTGTGACAATCGATCCGAGCCTCAAGGCATGGAACTCGGCGTACGATTACCTGTCCAAGATGAAGCAGGTCTTTTCACGTAAAATCGAAGTGGCACTTCCTCGATTTGATCTTCTCTTTCTGGGCATGGGTCCTGACGGTCATACCTGTTCGCTGTTTCCCAATCATCCTCTACTCGGTGTAAGTCATCTGAGTTTGGTGTCATAAGCATGTACTACTGTTTCCTCTTACCGTTTCCCCAGGAGGACAAACGATGGATTTCGTATATTGGCGACTCACCGAAGCCACCTCCGAATCGAATCACCATGACACTGCCCGTTTTAAACAACGCCAAGTGCTGCGTCTTCTTTATCACTGGAGCTGCCAAAGCTCAAATCATCAAGGTAGGCGTTGAAGGAGCATTTAATGAAGTTTGAATGGCTATTAATTCTCACTTATTCAGGACATTGTTGTGGACAACAAGCCTCTGCCGGCTGGTCTTGTCCGACCCACCAACGGCGAGCTTTACTGGATTTTGGATAATGAATCGGCTCAATTTCTGCCTGACTCATACTTGAAGCAGATGTCAGTGTAGTGATGTGCCTGCTCAGAGGCTCATTTCTTCAATGCGTGAATCTGCTGGTACGCAACCACTCGAGCTACTTCCATTCCCCATCTTTGTTTCAGTTACACTCGAAGTGCATTATCACTAAGCGCAGTTATTTGTGTTTCCCTGTAGCCCCTCTCTCTTTCTTTCTCTAATCGGTCTGGTTCTAATGTGGTCATCAGTGGGTGGCAATCTGTTCTGCGAATGCACTGCAGCGCGAAGCCAGTGCCATTCACCGCAATAAATGCTCACACAATGCATGTCATCTGTGCTTAATTTAACACTGACTTGAACGAATTGCACACACACACTCACACAGACAGACCGACACGAGGGAAGACTCCCTGGTTGTTCTCTGGCTGCTAGCCATGACACTGTGTCCGCTGAGGCAATGCACTCTGTGCCTGACCTGCAGTGCCGCAGTCCAGGCACGTGCTGATTCATTGCCGCTGAATGTCGGAAGAAAGGACACAAACACACTGTGGCCACCTGTGTGACACATGTGAACACTTCGGACAGTGGTCACTGCTCGAAGAGATCAATGCAACTGTAGTTGTCGAACTGCCTCACCCAGTCCGAACAACCAGTCCGGACTGTGTGTGTGTTGTGTTTTGTCACGAGGCGCAAACAGGCACAACTGCATTGCCCCTAAATGTATGCTCATTTAGCAGGCGACAACAGCGGCAACTAAAGAGCGCACTAATTCTGCACCACCACCATATGCGCAGGATGGAGGAAGCGCATTGAAGGGCGCCAGCCTTGAAGCAACAGCGTCTAAGACATGACTGCCCGCCACTGAGAGTGGCTCCTTGGTGCCAGTGGTGCCAGTGGCAGTGGCAGTGGTGGTGACGAAGATTGGCCAACGGTGACGCAGATCAAGATGCCGTACCAGCAGGAGCAGCAACACAGGAGCGATGATCGAATGGCGCGAGAGCGAGGTGAACCGAAAGCGGACAACAAATTGGCACTAACAGGAAGGTAGCAAAGTACTGCGAGCCGCGCGCGCGATGAACACACACACACACACACACTGCTCTGCTGGGAGCATTGAACTTTTTATTGAACTGCCAAGTGATGCGCCCAGACGAACCCGCAATGTGCTCACTCTCCAGCCCACTAGCTGCCCATTTTCTGGTACTCCTCACCACCCTCAGTGCCGGTCAGTGGACGGCGAGTGAGTGCGAGCCCAGCGGAGGCCCTGTCCGCCCCTCCTGCCCCACCCCCTGCTGTTGACGGTGACCAGAAAGTGCCTCGGTAATCCCCTTCTCTCGGGACTTTACTCGCCTTCAGTGCGCTTTCGGGAGTGTCACGCATGCGCTGGCAATAGCTCCACTCTCAAATGCTGCATCGGCTGCTCAGGAGAGTGTCTGTGGGAGAGAGAGAGAGAGAGANACGGTGACCAGAAAGTGCCTCGGTAATCCCCTTCTCTCGGGACTTTACTCGCCTTCAGTGCGCTTTCGGGAGTGTCACGCATGCGCTGGCAATAGCTCCACTCTCAAATGCTGCATCGGCTGCTCAGGAGAGTGTCTGTGGGAGAGAGAGAGATTAAATGCTTGGCCAGTGGCACCGACCGACGCTGTTCCCATTCACCGCCTGCGCTGGCTCTCTCTTGCACCTCTCTGCTGCAGCGATTGTTTCCCCTCTGGTCCTCGTCTGGACACCGCATCCTCCTGGCCTGATGATCCACCGCCGACTGCCGATGACCCGGACTAAGGCCATCCAGGGAGGGGAGGACACGCCGAGCTCACTCCTTCGATAAGGGCACTTTTGGCAGTGAATTGCTGCAGCCTGCCACACACGAGCTCAACCTCGTAGTAATCTGATGCAGTCAGTCCAGTGCACTTGTGTTTTGTTTTTCTGCCTCGCTTCGCCTAATCAACACAGTCAGACACTGCTCAGTGCCAGCCTGGATGCTGCTGCTGTTGCTGTTGCTGCCACTTCTGCATATGTCATCCTCTGGCCGATAGCATCTGATGCGCCACCAGCAGTTTGAGTGCTGTGTGTGTGTTTTGCTTGAGCCCCTACCCTTGTTTGCAAGTCCGGTGCACCATGTTTAGTCATCCACTTTGCATTGTTCTACGAATCGTATTGTAATTTTACAACGCACTGCTTCGCTAACTTCTCCAAATCGGCTAAACTCCTTGCACAGTGTCCTACCCCTGTCGCCGAGCAATTATCTCTTCTCAATCAACAGTCATCGGTTGATCTTCTTAATTCACATGTTTATTTGTTTTTCACCATACTATCGTGATCACCGTCGCTACTTTTGCTCACCTCAAATCTACTACATGATCCAACCGCTCTCGTCTCTGCACACTGCCAGTCAAAAGCAGTAGTTTTAATTCAACCGATATGCAAATTCAAATCACTCGACTTTTCATTTTCCTCCAGTCTTAACCGACATACCGCACCTTATGAACTGTGTCATTTACTTCTTATCTAAACCGTCTCACTAACCAAGACATCACACCGCACCATCTATAATGGCGATGTCCCAGCCTTCCATCAACTGCAGTCTGGATGACATTGATTTGAATAGTCTTAAGGTAGGTTAAGCTCCTACAAGAGCAATAAAATTTGTTGTGTCATTTAGGTGGCAATGACTGCTAAATATCACTTTTGTATGATAAACGGCAGTGACTAATCCTCCAGCAGTCATATATCTCCAAAACTGATCCTTATCGCTCTCGTGCTCATTCTTTTCCTTTCACTTTTGCAGGATCCAGCTGGAATATTTGACCTTATAGAAGTGGTCGGCAATGGAACTTATGGTCAAGTGTATAAGGTTCGTTTGATTTTTGTTTTTATCAAGGCTATGCCTAGATTTGTGCATGCATCAATGCAAACAAAATGTTGTTGTTAATGCACTTCCTCTAAGCACTCATTTCCTCTCAATCATTTCTTTTTCATTTCCTTGAGAAAGCTATCGTAGTGGAACTAGTCATTTGACATCAGAGTGACAAGATTGTAGATTGCATTTTGTTTGTTATTAGCGNAGAAAGCTATCGTAGTGGAACTAGTCATTTGACATCAGAGTGACAAGATTATAGATTGCATTTTGTTTGTTATTAGCGACTTCNATTTCCTCTCAATCATTTCTTTTTCATTTCCTTGAGAAAGCTATCGTAGTCGAACTAGTCATTTGACATCAGAGTGACAAGATTGTAGATTGCATTTTGTTTGTTATTAGCCACAACTTTGAAATAAACGTTTCTATTAGTTTTGCAATACTATTTAGATAGCCAAGAAAGGCGACAATATTTGTACACACTCATTAACTATTATTAAGTGGAGATCTGGAGTAATTAATATGGATCGTTTGCACTCTAGGGACGCCATACCAAGACCGGTCAGCTGGCGGCCATTAAGATCATGGACGTTACCGAAGATGAAGAGGAGGAAATCAAGTTGGAAATTAATGTCCTGAAAAAGGTTTGATTTGTACAGCAAATCGTCACACGACGGTGATACTAACAGCGTCTTTTACAGTACTCTCATCATCGCAATATCGCTACCTACTACGGGGCATTTATCCACAAGAGTCCCGAAGGCAAAGATGACAAACTGTGGCTGGTAATGGAGTACTGCGGTGCCGGCTCAGTGACGGATTTAGTCAAGTCCACCAAAGGGCACTCTCTGAAGGAGGAGTGGATCGCCTATATCTGCAGGGAAATTTTGCGCGGACTGAATCACCTTCATCAGAACAAAATTATTCATCGTGATATTAAGGGCCAAAACGTTCTGCTCACTGATGATGCCGAGGTGAAGTTGGTGGACTTTGGCGTCAGTGCTCAGCTGGATCGAACCATTGGCAGACGAAACACATTCATTGGCACGCCATACTGGATGGCTCCCGAAGTGATTGCTTGTGATGAGAATCCTGATGCCACGTACGATAACCGAAGTGATCTTTGGTCTCTGGGAATCACCGCCATTGAGATGGCCGAAAATACTCCACGTAAGTTGCTTTCTCCTCTGCTGTTCTTTCTCCTTTCTTTACACGCCTACTTTATATTTTCCATTTCTAGCGCTTTGTGATCTACATCCCATGAGAGCTTTGTTTTTGATACCTCGAAATCCGCCGCCACGCCTAAAGTCAAAGAAGTGGTCGAAAAAGTTTCAAAACTTCATTGAAACTGTTTTGGTGAAGGACTACACGAGAAGGCCTTTTACTGAGAATCTGCTAAAGAACTCATTCATCAGAGATCAGCCTAATGAAAGGCAAGTGCGCAACCAGATTAAGGAGCACATTGATCGCTGCAAGAAGCACAAGCGCAGCGATTTCAATGAGGACTCTCGGTACCACAGCGACGACGATGAGGAGGAGAACGTCAATCACATTGACTTGCGTGAGCATCTTGCTCAGGAAAGCACATTGCGCAGGAATCCTGAGAAGACTCCGGTTTCGCCTAATGTGGAGCATAAAAACGGCCACCACCAGGCGAATGGACATTCCGCTCAGGCGGGACCTTCCCACAAGTCACCGGATAAGCAGCATCACCAGGCGCCGCCTCCGCACATTGTCAACCGGCCACTCCCAGCACCGCCAAATCGAGCTATTGCAGTTCCAGAGCTGCCTCCACCCAGTAAACCACTTCCACCGATTCCAGTGGAGAATGATAGGAAAGGCGACAAGAAAATCATCACTAACCGGAATATTGCCATGGAGCATAACTTTCAGCCGCAACATGCTCATATTACTAACATTGCAAACAATGCCAACCGAAATTCGGCCATCATTAAGGCGCAGTTTCAAAAGCCCGAAGATCTTGAACTCCTTGCCGCTCAGTTGAATGAGCTGGGAGGCAATAACAACCACAAGGCTGATAACAAAAACGGTCAAATGGCAAAGAAGCCGTCGGCTCCAAGTGCTGTCCCCCAGAGCAACAAGTCGTTCAACCCACCACCGCCAAAGTACAAAGACAGCGCAGTTCACCAGAACGGCTTTAACCAGAAGCCACAGGGAAATGTTCAAAGGCCAATGGCTGGAAACAATTCACGACCTGGCGGTCCTCCGATGATAGGCAATTCAGGTTCGGGATCAGAAGAAGACGATGAGGAGGACGATGATGACGATGATGATGACGATGACGATGAGGACGTTGGAGTTGCTGAAACTGGGGGAGCGCGTAATGACGGAACGTTGCTCGCCTCTGACCCACCTCGTCCCTTGTATGTGTTACCAAGTCTGTCAGGTTTACCATAACTTATACNGACGATGAGGAGGACGATGATGACGATGATGATGACGATGACGATGAGGACGTTGGAGTTGCTGAAACTGGGGGAGCGCGTAATGACGGAACGTTGCTCGCCTCTGACCCACCTCGTCCCTTGTATGTGTTACAAAGTCTGTCAGGTTTACCATAATTTATACTATTTCATTTAAGGCCATCGGATAGCTCTAATGCACTCCGCGGAATGATGGGTAAGTTTTACATTATTTGGGGATTTGTTTGGAAGCTAAAGAGTTGCTTTTGGTTTAGAATCAAGCCCAAGTCAAGCACCGAACCGGCCATTGCCGCCGCCACCAGTTGATGCCTACCCACCTTCAAAGCCTTTGCCGCCCATTCCGAAGAGCACCTCACTGGACGACGATGAATCTTCACATGATCAGACGTTGGTCTTGCGAAGGGTAAGTGCAGCCTGATAGTGCCCATATTGATCAATGTTGACGTGTTTTTGGATAGCAACAAGCTAAAAAGGCCGATGTCTCAGACAGTAGTGCTAAAGTGGTCGATTCAGAAAATCCCCCAAAAAGTGCTCCTCAACAGAACGCTGAGACGGCGGTCCCCCTTGCTACTTCTAGCAGTAGTAACAATGTTAAATTGCGAAACTCGGTCATTGAGGAGCGACGAAAAAGTGCAAAACTCGAGTTTTTCGGTAGAGCGGTAGAATCAGTAGGCGGCGCCCCACCAAGTGTCATTCAGTTGGATCGTGAGCCGATTAATAGAAATAAGAAGGTGGTCCCACCTTTGGAACATGCTACCAAAAATGGCTCTAACATTCGAGACTATATCAACCGGAATGCCATTGAAAATTCAGTACAGGTTTGCCTTTTGTATTGTACATGTAAACTAACTTGCCCGCACTCTAAGTCTGTTTGATTTTAAATGTCGCTGTTGATCCTCAGCTTAATCTGTGTGTGTCTTTAACATTGACTTTTCCGTTTGTTGCTTACTGCTTCTTTTGTTGCTTGTGTGTGTCTAGATGTTTTCTTAATGTTGCTTTTATTTTTGCAGCAAAATCCAAGATCTGAATCGTCAGTGTCGGGCTCAAAAGAGGTCAGCTCACGGCAAAGTACAGTCATGCCTGACTTGTTACCTCAAGGCTTATCGGAAGATTCTCTTAAAAATTGTGATGATGCCTCACTGCTAATGAATCAGGTAGGCGATACATGCACTTAACTGTAACACTAATGTATTTTTATTTCAAGATGCGCCAATCAAATTCCTCAATACCGCCTCATCTCCAGCACAAGCAACGCTCATTTTTGACATTTGGTTTTGGTGCTGGCAGCAATGTGCCCACTCCTAGTCCATCTCCTCGACGAGAGTCACACATCAATGTCAATGTGTCGCCATCAATTCAGCCTGATACGCCGGAAATTCGAAAGTACAAGAAGCGGTTCACCTCCGAGGTGCTGTGCGCTGCACTGTGGGGCGTCAATCTGCTAATCGGCACCGAGAATGGCCTTATGCTGCTTGATCGCAGTGGTCAGGGAAAGGTGTATCACCTGATATCACGACGGCGGTTTCAGCAAATGGAAGTGCTCGAAGGACAGAATATCCTGGTTACCATTTCGGGGAAAAAGTCTCGCGTTCGAGTGTATCACCTTTCGTGGTTGCGCAGCAAAATTATTCGCACTGATCAGGTAGTACTACATCATTACACATGACCCCATACGTTTTGAAAACTAATTTTAACTTTAACACAGCAAATTGAAAAGAAAAACGGATGGGTTAATGTCGGCGACCTCGATGGTGCTGTTCACTTCAAAATTGGTAAAATAGCCTTATTTGTTCTTTTTCTTTTGTTTTGCTTTTTTTCAGACTAGTTTTTTTTTGTTTTCATTTATGTTTATTTATGCCTTCATTTTCATTTTTATTTGTAGTTGTTTAGAATGTTTTTTATTAGGGGTAGTTTTCTCNAAATTGGTAAAATAGCCTTATTTGTTCTTTTTCTTTTGTTTTGCTTTTTTTCAGACTAGTTTTTTTTTGTTTTCATTTATGTTTATTTATGCCTTCATTTTCATTTTTATTTGNAGACTAGTCATTGTGTAGTCATTTTGTTTTCATTTATGTTTATTTATGCCTTCATTTTCATTTTTTATTTTTACTTGTTTAGAATGTTTTTTATTAGGGGTAGTTTTCTAATTGGCACAAAGTGTCTATTTCAAGTGTGTTTTCCTCTAATGCTGTTTCTTTAACTTCAAAAACTTCATATTTTAGTCGGGTGGCAGATACCACAACAAGTTTCTAAAGATTGGGAGAATACTTTTCGAATATGGAGTGGAAACGGTATTTTCACATATAATTGATATTTTTAAATAGTAGTGTCTAAAGTAGTTTTAATTTGCTCATTTCATTTTTGTGTTTTATAACGCCAAATGACAACTTAAATTTTTTCCTTTTCAGTGAAATACGACCGAATCAAGTTTTTAGTGATTGCTCTCAAAGATAGCATTGAAATCTACGCCTGGGCTCCTAAACCATATCACAAGTTTATGGCCTTCAAATCCTTTGTCGATCTGGTCCATAAGCCGCTCTTGGTGGACATGACTATCGAAGAAGGTATCCGTCTTAAGGTCGTCTACGGTTCGTCTGAAGGATTTCACGCTGTTGAACTGGACAGTGGAGCCGTCTACGACATTTACGTGCCCACGCATGTAAGTGTTTAAAAGTGAAATGTAAAGTGAACTGCATCATTAATGGTGTTCACAAAATTACAGAGTCAGTCGTCAATCACACCGCACACCATCATCACTTTGCCCAACTCCAAAGGAATGCAACTGCTCCTTTGCTATGACAGTAAGGCTGCAAACTTTCTTCTCTTTACGTTCATTTTCTCTAATCATAATTTCGTTTCAGACGAAGGAGTTTACGTGAACACCTACGGCAAAGTGAGCAAGAATATTGTGCTGCAATGGGGTGAAATGCCCACTTCGGTTGCCTTCATTGGCACCGGTCAAATAATGGGCTGGGGCAACAAAGCAATTGAAATTCGGGGCGTGGAGACAGGCCATCTGGATGGTGTGTTCATGCACAAGAAGGCGCAAAAACTCAAATTCTTATGTGAACGAAACGATAAAGTAAGATATTAGGATCAAAAACTCACCAACAACCTCAGCTAATGTGTTCTGTCTACTTGCACAGGTATTTTTCTCCTCTTCAAAGGGCGGTTCTTCGTGCCAAATCTACTTTATGACTTTGAATAAGCCCGGAATGGCCAACTGGTGAAGAGAGTAAGCTTGTGGCTAGAAGTAGCAGGGTGGTGCTACAGTAGTTGATACTGAAACGGACGCATTTGCAGTCAATCACAACGCTTCGATAGTATTGACAGTGATACAACCAAAACATTTACCCACAGACCACTAGAACTGATACGTTTTCTCGGGCACTGCTTTGATTCCAATTTGTTTAACTTTCTCTTCTTTTGTACGATTTTGCTCAAGCTTACGACTGCGCCTGTTGTAAATATAAGCATGTAATTTTTTTAGATCCATTTTACTACATCGGTGCTTTTAGTTCTTCTCCACTTTCACTACGACTAATTCCCTTTTTTAAGACAAGCTTGACAAAGAGTAAGCGCTAACACACTTTTGCCCATTTTTAACTCAAGTACATCAAAACTTTATATATTTTTAAATGTAGATTTTTAATTGTAACAGAATTATTAATTTATACAGCTTAGTTTCAATTTGAATCATTACTTTTGTAATAAAAACTCACATTTGTAAAAAGCCCACGCTATTTTAATCGGCATTCTTATCGGTCTTTTTGTCGGTCTTCTTATCAAAGAAGAAAGTAGGATCGCTAGACTTGATGTTTTTGAGTCTAGCGAATTCAACGAGATCTCGCTTCATTGCATACGCATCTTCGCCATCGGCATAATACTTTGGCTCGATTTCGCTGATCTCAAACTTTAGAGTATTCTGGTACAGATGAAGTGCTGCACGGTTGCTTTTGCGAACATGAAGAGACACATAGCGAGCGTTAAAACACTCGACCATCGCCCGCGCAGCCTGATCCATGAGCTTTTGAGCCAGTCCCAGTCGGCGATTGGTTCGCTTGACTGCCAGTGAGGTAATGTGTCCGTGAGAGATGTCCGCCTCTTCTTCCATCTTCGCAAGCACGTACCCGACGATTCGACCCTGGTCGTCTTCCGCCACGTAAGACAGCTGGGGCCAGGATAGACCGTGATAAAAGTAGTACTTCATTTGGTAGTTTTCCGGCAGGCAGAGCAAGTTGCAGTGCTGCATATTCATCAAATCTTCGGGCTGTGAAAGAAGCCATTGTGAAACAATCAGGCAACTACTTTAAGACAATAAAACTTACTTTTGCGTTTCTAATATGCATCTTTTCCTTCGGTTAGCTGTTTACCAATCAGATTAATCAAAATGTCCAAATGCGATGAGTTTTGTTGAGTTTGCGGCGTGAAACATGAAACATTTAAATCAGCTGTTAGCAAATTAGCATGCCTCTCACAATAGCGCGCTATTTTGACCATAGTCGACACTGAACATGTGATTCACTAAAAATCTAAACAAATCTAAACCCGTGTTTTTCTGATAAAATCTGCCGATTTTCGAAGCAATGTCTTCTGTCGTGGAGAACTCGGCCATTCTTCCGGGCGAAAATCTAATCGAACTGCTGGAGGCTTGCAAGGACAACAAGGAAAAGGCAACAATCGTCGGTCCTGGCTTAAAGCGACATAGCAAAAACAAAATCAATTCTCATGCAGCCGGTCAACTTTTGCACCGAAATGGAAACCTCTTCTGGATCAACTCGCACCAGCGCTACTACATTCCCTGCGAAAGAGACACCGTAGTTGGTGTGGTCACGTCAAAATTCGGCAACAACTGCCGTGTGGACATTGGCGCTTCAGAACAGGCAACATTATCTCTTTTCGCATTTCCCAATGCTACTAAACGCAACAAAGGCATCGTTGAGGTAAGCAAAGTTAACTGTAATTTACATTTCTGAAAACTAATCAGCTTTTTTACAGATTGGTGATATCATCTTTGCCAAAGTGATGGCTGCAGCAAAAGATGTGGAAACTGAGCTTGTTTGTGTCGACCAGCACGGAAGAAAAGACGGCTTGGGTGTTCTCCCAAAAGGCGGATACATGATCAAAGTTCCCATCAACATAAGCAGAAGACTACTGGCACCAGACTCCAGAATAAGTGAATTTCTCGGACAAAAGTATCGTTTTGAAAAGGCTATTGGCATGAACGGCCGTATCTGGATTCGTGCTCGTTCGTTCGAGACCACAATTCTGATTAGCAACTTTATCAAGCAATTGGAGTATATACCTAACTCTGAGCTCATGGAAACTTGCAACCTGCTTTGTAAGTAACTCGCTCTAGTGTTGCCTTTATTTTATGTACATTTCATTCATCCAAAAACATCCATTATATGCTCTATACATCTGTCACTTGCTTCTTTGGCTTTATCACAAAATGCTATGAGATTTAAAAATCCATGCGGCAATTCATCAAATACTTCTATATAAACTTTCCCTAAAAGAAATTGCGTGTTAGTGCTTGTTTTTGTCAATGAAGTAATGAGTACCTTTCCATTTTTTAGCCATTTCAATGGAGTCGTCTAGAAAGGCGTCGTATGTGAGAGGATACAAGTACAGCGGAACTTCGTCAAAGTTAATGTCCTTGGACAACAGTGGAGAAATGAACGGATTGGAAACAAACTTGTTCAAATTATAGAGGCTCTGCTTGACACTGTCAGGTTTCTTGTACCACGGAACCAGTCGATAATTAGTGCTAACCACTGGAGAAGTAGAACATTTAGGTATTTCCCCTCATTGAAACTCTGCCACCAACCTGATAAAGCGCTTTTGATGCCCCATACAACTTTAGAGTAAAGGAGTTGTACCATGGATGTGATGTTATTTGGTACTAACTGCATCTCATCGCTTTCGCCCTGCGTTGGATGGTCTTTATTCATCACCTCCTGGGGCACATAGGCAGCCAGACAACTGAGCAGTGTTCCAACTGGAATTAGGCCTTCTACTGAAGTGATTATTCGAGCAGGAGAGACAAATGTGTTTAGAATAAACCTGATTGGAAGAAAGAGGGTTTTCTGTGCATGAGAAAATCAGTTTCATATAACTGAATAGCACTTACGGTGTGTAGAAGCAAAAAAGTCCACTTGGAAATGGATAGCCATCCAGACTGCCGCCGTACTGCTTCACTGTTTGCCTAATGTCGTTCAGAGCAAGCACCAGTGCCATGCCCAAGTTGCCTCCTGCACTGTCGCCGCAAATGGCAATTTTTGTGGGATGAAAGCCAATTGCAGCTTCCACCTCTGGGTCTCCACTAACTAGCCATAGATAGCAATCGAGTACTTCCTGTAGAGCTTCAGGATAGGGCGCCTCAGGACTGAGACTGTAGTCGACACTGAGAATGGTCGTATCTGCGATTGACTGTGTTAGAACAGTGGACTTTTCCAACCGCAAACCATTACCTTTCAGCGTTTTGGCCCACTCATTAAGGTACACTTGATGAAACTCTGGTGACTGGCTAATGTAGCCGCCCCCGTGCAAATGAAGCGTCAGATTAGAGCTGGGGTGTTCCCTCTGAAGCGACCGTAAGAGCAAACAGCGAACAGTCGACTTTACGCATCGGCCAAAGCGCACCTGCTGGCATGGCACCGTCTGATCATAGACTTTTCCCTCAAACATGGCCACTTTCCAGCGACTCTGCCTTTTGGCGTAGATGCTCTTGGTCAGTATCTGAGACTTGTCGTGCCTAATCATGAACTGTCGGGCCACCCGATACTCGGTCATGTTCCACATGCTTTGAAGGCACTGTTGGAAGAAGATGTGTTTTCTAATTCTCTTGTCTGCAATTGGAGATGTCACTTACGTCTATGTTAATTCCAAGGCTCATATTAAAAAGCATAGTGCCGCGATTTTGTCGATTAATCCAGTTGTAAATTTTGAGTGATTTCCATTGGGAGGAGTAAATGGCCATAAAAGCAGAAAAGTACTGCATCACATGCGAAATCGATGGAGACAACTGCAAAAACAGATTTGCAAATTGAAAATTAGAGCCAAATGTGAAATGTCTGAATAAAAATCCCTTACCCAGCACGAATTGAAATACGCGTAAAAGAATGAAAGTTGCTTTTTAAGCGACTTTATTAGCGCTAATAAATCGACAATGTCGAGTTTGCTTGCAAACAGACTTCCTTCTTCGACCAGATCAACTCCTTTGATTGACAGATGATCTTCTTTGGGTTCATCATTGTTGTAGCTTTCTTTACGGCGTATTTTGTAGCAAATAGCCAAACCAGTGTTGAGGATCTACATAAAAGGTGACATCAGACACTACATTGTTATTCTTAGTAGAGTACTTACCTCTAAAACATGAAATGCTTGTTCTCGGTTGAATGCATCTTCACTTGATGCAATTTGCATGACTTTTCCAAATTTAATAATTAGTTTTGCAAAACTCCAGTAGCCATTAGCATGCGTTGAGGCATCGTAGTCATAAAGAGGTGCAATTTCCAGCAAGAATTGACCTCCCTTCCAAACACTAGTAATCACTTGCTCAAGTTCTTTATCTTGTAAATAAGTTTTATGAATGCAAGCAAAAGTCTCATTGAGTTGAGTTATCAGCGGTATTTCGGTGCTCAGTCCAACTTGATGCGAATCAAATGGAAACCCCACCTGGCTTTTCAACAACTGGCCAATTATTTTTCTCATCTTTTGTTCAAGTTGAAAGTTTCTCGAGATTACTAGAATTACGTCTTTTTATAAAAATATAGTAGTTGCGGTTCTTGTACGATAAAAGCCGACAACAAATCTCATGTGCTAGAAGTGGTTTCCTTGCTGATAAGACTCATATCACTGCAGAGACAAAGTTCGAGCTGAGCTGAGGTTGTGGTAATGATGAAGTTACGATGGAGAGTAGTAGTCATGTGGTCCGGTGTCATGAGTGTTTTCTTTCGGCTCATGAGAAAACCTGGACGACAAGTGTGCAGAGTAACAGTGCAGCAGCGTTCTAAAACTTACTATCGTCTGCAATGTAAAAGCCAATGTTCGACAAGCACTGAGCAGTAAGAGTGCACTTTTATCAGCTTATCATTCATCATTGACCCCTTTTGATATCCCTCTTTGCTTTGTCGACAGAATTGCCATTATCAGTTTCAAGTTTAAACATGTGTGTATATATTGAAAACGGCGGTATAAATGACATTGATTATCATTGGCATCAACTGGGAGGGAAATTCTCCGCTAATGTTTGATACAATCAAAGAGGCGAAAAATTTCTTCACTACTAAGGCAAAACAGATGTCTATGACAGTAAAAGTGACTACTGAAGTGGATTCACAAAGCAACTTTTGAAGTTGTGTTTGTGCACTGAAGCACTAGCGAGCACCAGGTGATCAGGCAGGCAGGTGAATGAGGTGAGTACAGCTGTGCCCAGGCTTGAACAAGTTGAAAAGTTAAATCGGGTGCGTCAGATTTGCCATCGTCATTTCAGTAGGCAGTTATACTTTAGGCTGACTTCAGGCAGTCACATTTTACACTGAAGTTTCTTGTGTGACTCTCACCAAGGCAACAGACTTTGCAGAAACAGTGCTTGAGCTAGCCACGTTTGCACAGTAAAAGAACTTCTTGATGGTGTTGTGCGAGCAGCGACCCGGTGCCGAGGTATTCCGTCGGAGATCAATAAAGGGAGAATAACGGCGATCTAGGGTAGTGTAACAAGTTTTAAAGATTAAGATTCATTACGTTTTAAAGAGACGGCATGTCAGAAGTAACTCTACAGTACGCAGACAACTCTCTAACACTCATGCAGTTTATTGAGGTAATAACAAAAAAAATTGTAAAAAGGTAAATAAATAAAAATACTAAAGAATACAGCATAAACAGTATCGCTTAAAACGTCCAATATAAGATAAGTGGGGCAAAGGATAATTTGAATCAGTCGAACCGGGGTTGCCGTCCAAATGGTTGCTGCTGTTCACATGAGAATCACATTCCGACTTAGAAATGGACAAGGACAAGGAAGCATTGCACTTTGAGGAAAAGGAAGTGGTGGAGGTAATCGAGAGGGAGTTATCTGTGGCAGTACTCGACACTACCTCCAAGTTGGCATTCACTGACTGCTGCTGCTGACTGGGACAACTTTGGGGGGTAGATTTTGAAAACTTCCAAAAACGCCATTTACCAAATGGATAGTGACGGGGAATGGGGTGCACTCCTCTTTCGACTGAACACAAATCACCGAAGTACTTGGGGGCCGGTTCTGAATGCGACTGAATAAAGCATTGCCCTGATATATTGCACTGAACGCTTTTGCCATTGGGTGTAGACAGAGGATCAATAGAGATCGAGTTGAAGTGACTAGATTGGTTGTTCTCGGTACTTTTTCTGTTAGGGCCACTCAAATGAACGCTTTCTTCGACTCCGTTGGAGCACAGTTCAGTTTGTTCTCTAGTTTGGTGACTAAGTAAATGTGTTAGCATAAGCTTCTCGCAGTTTTTTGGCTCTATCGGCAACAACAGGAAGCGGGACAGTTAAAAATTAAAACAAAACGAAACAAAAAGTTAAACATTAAAACTATCGCGCAGACAAGACAAAAGCAAAGCTTGGTCAGACTGGACTACATAAAATTCAGTATACTGTACCTCGGTTTGGTAATAGATTAAACAGAAGATAAACCGGCTGTTTGGGAAAGAGAAATAGGTGTTTGCATTGAAACCTGAAATCATAATGCAGTTTAAGGGATACTTACTTTATGGTCTCCCATTGGCGTATCAAGACCCATCAATTCATATTTCGTTTTGAAATTGGCATTCTGTTAAGAGCAATGAACGACATATTTACAAAATGCTATTTATAGATAACTTGACTACTTACGTCATGCAATAGGTTGTGAGCGAATTCGTTCATTAAAACGCGATCACACCAGGCCGGGCATCGAGTGTTCATGTAGCCAGATGATGTGATCTCCTCTTTAAATGGGTAACTGGGTGGAAAGTCTATTTTCAGCTCAAAAAGTCCGTCAAAAAACGACAACTCTTTATCGTGCTCACGCAGCTGTAAATTGCAGTAGTAAGGGTTAGCTATCAATCACTTGCCAAAACGGAAACCGCTTGTATAAACAAACCGAATCAATGTTGATTTTGTTGGTGAAATAATTTGGATCTGAATACATAAAGTGCTTCTTTTCAACCGTGAGATGTCGATCAGCCTGAGTATCTCGGTAAATCAGTCTTGAGATTTCACCGTTTGCCGATAAAATTTGCGTCGGCTTTGCGTTGTTTGTCATTCTCTGAACGACTGACTGTGTGTCAAGGCGAAAGTTAAAATCTCCAAAAATAAACTGTGGAAGATCATTCAAAGGGCTGTTGTCGTTTTTCATTAGATTCAAGGTAAACTCAAAGGCTTTTCTGCGGTTTTTAGAGTACGACGATGGAAACTGTAAAAAATGATACAAATAAGTAGGAGCCTTCAACAAGTATCAGTAAAGGGTATTTTACCTCGGAAAGAGCAACAAAGTTGGATTCATCGTGAAAGCTAAAAAACGTTAATAATTTTGAAATTGTAGATAACAAATATAATTACAGGTGAATGTTAATTAAGTCAAATGCCACTCCGTTTAAAAGCCATCGGGTTCTGATGAAGCCTTTCCGAGACCATTTGCACTGAAAATTTTTGGGAAAAATTAAAAAAACTTTGACACCAAAAGTGACCAACCTCTGGGAAAAAATTTTGTTGAAACTTCAGTTTCTCTATTATCGGTACATCAATAATATTCCCAGAGTGAATTTCTTTGCCCACGACAGGTGCAAAAAGTTTATCTATAAAAAATGTAAACTGTCAATCAAAAAAAATAATTTACAAAAATGAACACTTGCCATTGAAGTTCCAAATATGTGCTTCTTGATTTTTATGGACGAGGTATAAACTTCCAAGTGCCTAAAGGTAATTTAGGGCTTGAGATCAAATAAGAAAATAAACCAACATTACCGTAAACTTGTCGTTTGCCTTAAAGTCTTCATCGATGAATACACGAATTTGTTCAAATTCAAGAAGCTCTTGGCTTGAAAGTAGAATTCTGAAGCAATAAAAACATATTTTAAAACGCACTTAAACTTGGATTTTCAATTACCGGACAAATTCGCTCACATAACTCATAGAAGTCATATAATTTTTGCCGCCAATCTCCTGGCAATGTAAAGCAATAAATTTTGGTTCTAAGTTCCTGATTGTCTGGAGAAAAGAAACAATTTTATTTATTTATGTTTTGGCCTAGCAGGTTGGTGCTTACCTTGAGAAACTCTTTAACCCATATTTTCAGTAAACCATTAGGCTAGAGAATAAATTTGTGCTTTGTAAACACGTGGAAGTTGCTTTGAGCTAAAAGGACTTACATCTTCGAAAATTGAGCCGACATTGGCGGTAACAAAAAGGCAAACTGTCATATTTAGTGAAGACAATGCACACTTGGGACTTTGGGAAAAGGTTGGGCAGAAGGCTAGGCGACAGTGGAGTAAAATCGGTGGGTGGGAAGGAGGAGAATGGAGCGACGATTGGGCGCAGCCATCAGATCCACCACCAACACCGGCGCATCAGCACCGAGCAGAGCAGTAGATATCGTCGCCTCATCGCCCTAGCGATAGCCAATTAATTCTCCACCGATTCACCAGCACCTGAACAATCACAGCAGCAACGGGACAACAGCAATTAGGCAGATAAAGGCAATGAGGTTGATGATGATGAGGATGAGCTGAGTTGTGCGGTTGGTAGGAACGACTGCATTGCCCAAGTCTGAATCACGGTGGAATGTCTTATTTTGGTTTACATTTCCCAGGCGACCGACAGAGCTTCCAAAGAGGCCGCCACCGGTGACTGCAGTCTGTCCCGAAACGCCGAAAAGTACGACGAGCCACTGAGCCTGACACCAGTTCCCAAGCACAGGTAGGAGCAGCGAAAAGGTAGCGCATGTGCAGTAGAAAGGGCTCTTTTTCAGTACAAGGCGACAGACTCTCTCGCCCACAATATCGCTCAGCTGAGCGTTCGGCTCGAGATTGTTTTCCACTTTATTTTGTGCCGATTCTTCCACATGTCGCCACTTCTTCATCACCTGACTGTGCCTCATCAATTCTAACTCTAGAACTGTTTTGACTGCCACAAAAATAATAACAATGACGACATTCCTCGCAGAGCTTGAACAGGTGCGCACGACTTGAGATGATGTCAAGTGTTTCAATTTGTGTTTGTTTATTTAGGATCCGTTTGATGGGGAAGAGTTCATCGAGAGGCTTGCATGGAGAGCAACAAATGGAAAGTTTGACGATGACACCTTTGAGAGTGAAGCATTGCACGAAGCACTGCACGAAGCTTTTGAGAATGGAATTAAAGACCTGAAATCTATTTATGATACCAACCAGAAGAAATGTGAACGTCTGGAAATGATTTGCGGTGAAGAGGAGAAGAAGCACTGGAGCAAAGTGGGTGAGCTTCAGCAAAAGTGCAAAGACTCTCTAGCCAGCTTTGAGAAACTTGACAAGCGCCTGGACATTGTGGCCGACAAAGTAGTCTACTTGGGCGAGCAACTTGAAGGCGTCAACACTCCTCGCACCAGAGCAGTAGAGGCACAAAAGCTGATGAAGCAATTTGCTCGATACCTTGACTATAATGATGACTTTTTGAACCCATTCGGGGACGAATTTGAGGAGAGTATTACTAAGCTTTACGAAGAGGCCGATATCATTCAAAAGCTGTATCTCATATCGCAAGAACTGCCTGCAGGACCCAAATTTGACAAAGCTAAAGAGTTAATCGCCAAACGCTATGACTTTATTGAAAAGCAACTTATTGAGGAGTTTGCTACTGCACAGAAGAATGATGATCGGGTCAAGATGAAGATGATTTCATCCATTCTCACACATTTCAAAGGCTACTCCCAGTGCGTCGATGTGTTCATTGAGCAAAGCCAAATGGGAATATTTTTAAGCGAAAACATTTTTGGTGACATAGTTTCACTTTGTGGAAAGAATCAAAAGACCATTACTGAAGTGTTTACCAACCCAGACCAAGTAATGTCAAAATTTGTGCTGAACATTTTCCACGGAAAGATTCAGGAATTTATTTCCACTCGACTTATCGATGACCGCGGAGAAGAGTTTCTGGCTGAACTCTTTGCCATGTTCTCAAAAACAAATAAACTGATCGAGCAGTTGTCTAAACAAAAGTTCCTCGGCTGTGATAATAACTTCCTCAATAAGATTACCCGCAACATATTTGCCAGACATCTTGACAATTACATTGTTCTTGAAACTTCCAATTTAAAAGAAAAATGTATGTCGATTCTACAAAGCTACTACGACTCAAAGAATCACATTAAACGTGCCGCCCCGTCCAGTTCCATTCAGGAGATGATTCAAGCGAGAATCGGCCGAACTAATATCAATCTTGCCAACCTTAATCTCAATATCACAGCTGCCAATCAAGAACTGCCTGGCGAAACTTTTCTCTCTGAGGAAATTGCAATTTCAATACTGCAAGAAACGAAAAGGTCTCTCCAGCGATGTGCACTGCTCTCAAAGCCACAGGAAATGGCACAGAATGCTCTTATCTTGTATGAAATTGAACTGCAGCATCTGTGCATTGATCACATCGATTACGCCATTGAGTTTGGTCTACAGGCCATTCCACAAGCCGATCCAAAGAGCCCTCCTGAGATATACTTTTTTGATGTGGTTCGCCAGTGTAATGAAATCTGCCACCTCATTGAAAAGCAGTTTGCCAACTCGGTACTTCCCTTGATTTCCTCAACCACTAAATACCCTGAATGCATTAAGAAGAAGCGAGATGTGATGCAGCAGATGGAAAATAAGCTTAATTCAGGCCTAGAAAAGTCGAACGCATCAATAATCGGCTGGATAAAAAACATACTTCAATCTGAGCAGAAGAAAAGCGATTTTAAGCCCGAGTCTGAAGACATTATTCCTACTTGCACTAATGTAAGCGTTTTCACTGATTTCTAAACACTTTTTTACTAATCTAACAATTTTCAGGCTTGCTCAAAAGTTGTCAAGTTTATCAACTACAACCGCAGCAAGATTCTCGAATCATTGGACGGGAAAAATGTAGAGGCCATTCTTTCAGATTTAGGCGTCAAGATTCATCGGACCATATTTGAGCACTTTCAGCAATTTCAATTCAACATTGTTGGTAAGACTTTCGCAAATAATTTATACTTGTACAACTAAAGTTTTTTTAATTAATTAGGTGCCATGGTTGTTATTTGTGACGTTAAAGAGTACCGCAATTGTATTGACAAGTTTAAGTTACCATTGCTTAACAACTTATTCAACATTCTTCATGCACTGTGCAACTTGCTTTTGGTTCCGGCTGAAAACTTGCGCCAAGTTTCAAGTGGAGATCAACTGGTAAGAATTAATCTACATAATCTTCAATTTTTGATACAAATATTTTACTTTTTCAGGCAAGCTTAGATCGCTCTATTGTCTATAACTTTATTCAACTTCGCTCTGACTACAAGTCTTCTAAATTGGTCAACTACTTAAAATAATAATATGCCTTGTTATCTATTTATTACTGTGCTTTAATTTTTAATAACTGTTTCTAATTTAATAAATCTTTAAATTATTTTCTTAATTTGTGTCTTTTGGTATTTCTACATTTACTGCAGTAGACCAGTGAAAATAGCTCTTGTTTTTGTTGATAAAAAATTGCGCAAACTAGACTTTGATTTTTTGAAGTGCAACATTAAAGATGGAACATTTGAATTTTATTAGCGACAACTTGGCTGATGTCAACAGCAAAATTGATCAGGCTTTGGCAGCGGCAAACATTCCAAATAAAGTATATTTTGATTAACTATAAATGCTTTTTTTACTTTGAAAGTTGTTTTAATGAATTTGCCCTTTGATAACAGAAACGACCTTGTCTAGTTGCTGTCAGCAAAACCCAGCCAAAAGAATACGTTATTCAAGCATACAAATGTGGTCAGCGTCATTTTGGCGAAAACTACGTAAGAATGAGGCGTTTGTTGTAATTTAATTTGTGGTAATTTTGTCTTGACTTTTCAGATTCAAGAGCTTAATGATAAAGCAAACGATCAAGAGGTACTTGTTTAATAACTTAGTTTACAATTCTTATATTTAAAAATTTCCATTGCAGATAATTACTCAATGTCCTGAAATTAAATGGCACATTATCGGGCACATACAAACAAACAAGATTAACAAGTTACTCGGTGCGAAATTAAAGTTCTTTGCATTTTTAGTCTTTTATAAAATTGTCCTTTTCAGCTTCTCCAAATCTATCTGTCATTGAGACCATCGACTCGGTAAAGTTAGCTGAAGCCATAAATGAAGCCATTAAGCGCAATGATTTAATCAAGGGCACAATTGATGTGTTTGTACAAGTAAACACAAGTAATGAAGAAGGTGAGAGTTATTGAATATTGATTTGTGATATTCTAATCATGTTTCACTTTATCTTCTAGCCAAATCTGGTATTGATCCTGAGCATTTGGTAGAACTAGTCGAGTTCATCACGACCAAGTGTGACCGTTTACATTTTGTGGGCTTTATGACCATTGGTGCCTACGGTTACGATGTCTCTCTCGGTCCAAATCCCGACTTTCTTAAACTGCTGGAAGTGCGTGAAACATTCTGCAAGAAGGCTAATGTCGACCAAACGACCATTGAGCTCAGCATGGGAATGTCCTGTGACTATGAGCATGCTGTAAGTAGGCGATTCATAGCCATTTCATTCTATTTTTCACGACCCATTTTCATATCCTTTCCAGATTCATCTTGGCAGTACTTTTGTTCGTGTAGGCACAGGCATTTTTGGCCCTAGGAAAGCCAAAGTTTAATTTGGTCAATTTTATTAAATCAATTTGAAAACAATGTACTATTGTCACAAAATACAACAGTCTTGAATAACAGAATGAAATCAAACAAATGAAGCATGTGTACAGTTTAAATCGGTTTAAAATTTCTTAGAGGCCTTTGTTGTAGTAAGCAATTTTGCAGTTGTTTTTGGTCTTTGCAAGGTTTTCTTTAATATCGTCTTCCAAACGGTCGACTGGCACTGATTTGATTTGCGGAAAGAAAGCACAGCACAGTGGAGTGGCAAATGTTAGGCTGTAATAGGTGAACAAAATAAAATGGTGTTAAATTACTGAAAGACAATGGGCAAGGGGCACTTACAAAAATCCACACATGATAATTTGTGCTGGAGCGGAAACCCAGGGCATTCGCTTGAGTACACCTCTTCGCTCAATGTAATCCATGATAATGGGTGGAATGGCTGTAACAGCGTAAAGTTAAGTAACGTTCAGCAAGCAGAGGTTATTTTTAGAAAGTGCAACTCACTCATTCCGGGCATAGCCATTAGAATGCGAGAAAGAACCACCTGTGAAATGGCAACTTGAGCCATCTTCTTTGAGTTGCCAATCTTCTCGCCGTTCTCATCGAACACTGCAATACCGTCGATTAGTTCACTAGTGAGGTAAACAAAGAAGGTGATTAGCTTGGGGCAGTGGAGCAGATTTGGCGGGGGTTGCTTGCCTGGAGCGCATCATTGGAATGTTAACACAGTTAGCGGCGGCCACTGCTGCCAGCGGAACGAATCGACCGATCAGCGGCGGGAATCGCTTCACCAGACTGTTCAGCGTCAAGGCCGTGGCCAGGGCGCCAGACGTGGCCAGGCAGTACGATTTGACCAGTTGACTGTAGAGGGGGCAGAAAAGAAGGAAAAGAAATCAATGTGAGATGTTCAGGAAAGACAAGCTCTCTCAACTTACGAAACTGGAATGGGACTATCTCCGCTGCGGTTGGTGTAGTTGACGACAGCATTGAAAGACTGGTTAAACCATTGCCAGAAGACAGTCTGCCCAGTGGTCCTGTGTGTGTGTGCAGAAGTTTAAGAGTTTAGCAAAGTTGAAGTGTTGAAACTGGCAATGGAAACATCAGATACTTGCTTGTAGAACGTGAGCATGCCTGATGGGGAGGGAAAGAGAGAAGGGTGATGTTCATTTGAAGATTGAAGGTCACTTCCTCATTTCAGTCACTTACAGCCGGTGATGGCCATGTTCATGGGCACCTGAGCGGACATTCGCCCAATGACAATCATCTTCTCGCCAGTGTCTGGGTGGTAGGCGGAATCGTAGAGCTGCTTGTAACGCCATAGCTTATCTTCTGTCAGCCCTTCGGGAACGTCACCTTTTCTGGTGACAAGCAAAGCATGAATGACTTCAAAAAGAAAGCAGCACTACTACAAACCTGTATTTGCTGATAATATTTTTGGCTTCTTCTAGTTCAGCATTGGAACGGAGTAAGTTGAGTGGGTTGGTCGTGGCGAAGAAGTGCTTGGCACGACCAGTGTAGGTACCTGAAGAAGTGAAGAAACGCACCAGTGGTAGGACAGTGGCCAACAACAGGAGTGTCACCTGAATTTGAGAAAAGGGCACTTACTTTGGTCCCATCGAGGCTTGTCAATGTCGATCCCTGCTCGGAGACTAGTGCTCGTTTCGGTGGCCATTTAGGCAGATGCTAGGAGAACACTTTGGTGATCACTTTGGTTTACAAAAAAGTGGTGCGCGGTAGTGGTTGCCTGGTTAGCAGACGAGCTTCTTCCAGTGAATGTATCACCAGCTCACACACACACACGCACAAGTGGCCAATCGTGGAGGACCTCTGCTCTGGCGGCGCGCGCTCTGCCGTTGATGCGGCCAATGGATAGGGTGAAAGTGAGCGAAAGTGAAGAGCAAGCCACGATGGCAGCAGCAACACTAGTGATCATTCGGCGGTGTTTGCAAACACAGACCGACTCACCGAGAGCAGACCATAGCCATTAAACTGTAGTGTAGTCTGCGCTGCAGTAGTCGCTGTGTAGATTTCACCGATTGTGATATGGACAAGCACACAAGGCCATTCAATTTCCCCTGACACTCTCGCTGTCTGCACAAGCCCACTGTCGTCTCAGGCGCGTCTATATATTGCGCTTTGAGGAAGGAAAGTGGGAGATAGAGGGAGAGAGAGATCAGTCCTCCTGTCCATTTGGCCATCTCGCAATCGATTTCGCCGCTTTTATCCACATGAGCATGTGCATCCTCACACTTTGAGTGTCCTGCCTGAAGAGTGTTGTAGTTTACCTACTACTCTTATCAGTGGGTACACACTTTCACAGTCTCCAGATCTCTTTTCGAGTTGCCGGTTTAGGAGTAGAGTAGCACGACGACCACCACTACAAATGCCGTCAGTGAACTGGTGGTGAAGTGTAGGGAAGAGTGGTGCTTGCAGGCAACCAGTGGCCTGACTGATAGCACGCCCAAGTTTGTCAGACTTCTGAATTGATTTGCTGATTAGATAAAGGCTATCACACGAACGTAAATGTTGTCATTGTTGACTTTACACATCATGCGTAAATGCTGCCTCGAAATGATCAAAGGTGAAAACACTTTGGAAAGTGAAACTGGTTCATAGATCGAACTAAATCTAGAGCATTTGCCAGAAAAAGCAGCAAACTACAGTCTTTAATTAAAACTTAAGACGTAAATTAAACATTTTGAGCTGAAATTGATCAAAATATACCTTAGTTTTAAGAGTATTTAACAAGTGCATAGGTGTAAGAACAAAATATAATCGTTTTTGAAGTTATTCTGCTTATGATTGTGCTAATATTCCATGAAAATTCGATTTTATGGATGAGTTTGCGAAAATTCTGCAAAGAATTGCAGTTTGAAATATCAGTCATATTTTAGCCTACAGGGAGCAGCACTGTGAGGCGCACGCTGTAAAAAATCTGATTCCAAATCATTTGTTTTTGTCAAGATTTTTGCCATTTTCGGCTTCTATTATTTTGTTTGAAAAGACAACCTATCTCCATTTTGTTTGACCAAGAAATCCTTTCACGATGGCCCGAAACGCTGAAAAGGCCATGACCACTCTGGCTCGATGGAGGGCCTCGCAGATAGAAGAGCCAATCCGCAAAAAACGCCGGCCATTTTTTGCCAATGATTGCAACGACCTAAGAGATGCTCAGCGATGGAGACTCGACATTATCCGCGAAATCAGTCGAAAAGTGACTCAAATTCAGAATGCTGGCTTGGGTGAACATCGTATTCGTGATCTCAACGACCAGATTAATAAACTACTAAGAGAGAAGAAGCACTGGGAAATAAGAATAAAAGAACTTGGTGGGACGGATATAAAGTAAGTTATTTTTCAATCTCTAAGCTTTCTCTAAAATTTATTTATTTTTGAATAGTTTTAAAGCAGGGCCTAAATTCGATGCATCCGCCAAAGAAGCTCCTGGGAATCGAGGTTATAAGTACTTTGGAGCAGCAAAAGACTTGCCCGGAGTTCGTAACTTGTTTACTCAAGAGCCAGCCCCAGTGGCAAAGAAAACAAGAGCCGAGTTAATGAAACATGTTGATGCCGACTACTATGGATACCGAGATGAAGACGATGGCGTCATTCTGAAAGAGGAGGAAAAAGTCCAAAGAGAGCAACTTCTCAAATTGGCAAATGCTGATGGTGAATCCAACATTCAGACCATTCAAGAGCGCATAAATGCCATTTGCAAAGATGACACCAAGAAAAATGACGATGGAGTTGACTTTGCAGGTCCCAAAAATTTCATTTCACACGTCCCATCAATTCCCACTCAACAGGAAATTCACGACGAGCTGATTCGCCGGAAAAAGCAGGAGTTGTTGGAAAGATACGTCTCTGACGATATTCGTGAATCGGAAACAAACGCAAAAACTATGCTTGGAATTGAGTAATATACAGAAATAAAAATGAACTTTAATTTTAAATAATTGATGTGGTTCGTACAATTAAAAAAGGGGAAATGTTTATTTTACATTGATAAGCACTCGTTAGTGAAAACAAAATTCAGAGTTAATTTGTTTCACTTTCCATCTTTACTTCTACTTGACCATTGTCCTCGGCCTCCAGTTTTTCGTTCTTAGGATTTCTGGCGTTTTGAAAGTTCTTTAGTTGCAGCTGGTGCTGCAGTTTGAGTTGTTCGAGTTCATTGAGACTGGATCGGACATGTTCTAGGCGTTGACTGGCCATATGGCTCACCTTATTTGAGGCGTAACAGGAGCCTTCGTGAGGGTGAAGTGTGCTCACTTTAGCTAGGTACTGAAGTTGCTTGCTGACGTTGCTTTCCACATTTTCCAGTGATTTCAGGAACTGGTTCACCTGTCCTTCCACATTTTTAATGCTGGGTTTATCTTTTCCAAATTCATTCAAAGCTTGCGTTGCATGCGACATGACTTGATAAACATTGCTTTCAATGTTGTCCAGCATGCGCATCCTTTCCGTTGAATTAGAGTTGTGTTCCATGATGTCTTCAAACTGCTTCTAATTAAATAAAACAAATTGACAAGAGGATTTTGTTTTGAATATCTTTGCCTGCAAAAATCGGCATCGACAAGAAAAATAAAGTCCAGAAAAACACTGAAAAATAGCCGTTTGGGTTGTAATAGTTTACTGCGATTTTTAACAAAAATTTTTTTATTTTATCATTGATTCAAAAATCAAAATTTCTCTGAAAAACCAGTAATCAAAAAGGTAGAATTAATACAAGTTAAGGCAAGTTAAACAGCTTTCTACGAAGCTCATTTCGTCGATCAATTTCCGATTGTCCGTTAGTAGCGTGAAATTGGTCTATTCGCTGTTTAAGTTGAATATTTAAAATTGGCTTGTTTTGTTCCGTAAATGGAACCCTCGTGAAAGGATCACACCCTGAATTGGAGTTTTTTTGAGTATCCAGTAATTTGTGTAGGCAAGTTTCGTCGATATTCTTTCCAGAAGGCAGTGTGTACGGATTTTTCATTAGTTCATTAGTTAGCGCGTCCAAAAAATCTGGTGGGGCAAGATGTTCAATTTGTTGACTTCGTATAGTAACATCCTCTTGAGTTAAGGCTTGACAGTTTTGTACAGTACTAGTATTCTTTACGCTTATATCACAAAATGCTCGTGTATCATTTTCGCTGTAGATGCTATTCGGTTTTCCATAAATATCTATGAAGCTAGTTTTAATATGTTAGCATATTGTGCAAATAGTAAACTTCATTTACCTCAAGCAGGGAACAGATGAATTAAAGGTCGATAAAACTTTTACTGTAAGACATTTTATATTGTTACAGTACTGTGCATTTCTACCAGCAATGGAGAAAGAATCTGGAAACGTAGAATTTTCTGAACGTAAATACTTATGAGGTCTATAGAGATGATTTACAATGGACAGTACTTCTTTGTTTGGGTTGTAACATTTAGCAATTAGTTGACCATCACTTGTCACATCGGTGCTTGCATAGATTTCAATTCCTCTCGATTGATGTTGGCGAAGTTTCAAACCCAATTGAAGGTACATCAAGTCAAGGTTGTACTTGGTGAATTCAAATTTAATGACTATTGGAGGGCGGATGTAATACTCGACTAAGAAGCCTTTTTGACGATCCTGGTGATTCAGAGAGATAAGATTCTGAACATCGTGATGATCACTGGAAACCTGGTTGCAGGAAACCTTGACGAGATTTTCATTACAAAAATTAACCGCCATTTTAGTCAAGAGTTTTTGAGACAAACCACTTGACAAAACTTTGTTTTTGTTTTGCGAACAGACAGCTTTCCATCATTGCCTTTCCGCAAACTGAGTTATTGGGGTAATCATTTTTTTGTACAAAAATACTTATTGTGAGCATTTTAATTTATCACGTTTATTTGATAAAATTGCACAGTTAACTGTCTACAGTTTTGTCAATTAAAAACGCCCGCTAAAATTCAATACAAATAATTAGTTCACAGATAAACACATTATTGCAAGTTCACACGAACAATTGGTCAAATAAAAAGCTAGCTAAAACAATTTCAAATTAGGCAGTTGCAAGTTTAAAAGGCATTATTCAACTAGAGCAGTTCACAAATTCTCGGTTATATTCTTCCGACAAGGGCATCGATAAATGAAGTCATTAAAGAAGTATAATGGAATGGTTTCGTCGATGATTAGTAGAATTGATGACTAGGCTTGCATGTCCTTGTATTGAGTGAACACAAGCACTTTGTCTTTGAGTTGTTGACAAGCTTGCAAGCCCAAGGTGTACAAGACTAGTGCCTCACTCAACCAGGGAATAGATATTTCTGCCTGCAAAAGTTTTTATTAGGAAATGTACTAAACTTAAAAGTTTTTTAAAGATTTACCTGAGAAATGTCAAACTTTTTCAATCCTGAACTGTCCTTGTACATGTGATACACAGCGCAGATCAGTTTGTGTGCTTGAACGTAAAAACTTATGGCCAAATCGTTTGGCAACGGCGGTTGAAGAGATTTCTGATTAGGAAATCGAAAAAAGGATGATTAAATCAAAATGAGTACTTTTTATTTGCTTACCATATTACAGCTGTTTTGCAGCTCTTCAATACTCCTTTTCTTAGGAACAATGAGACTGTTCCTGCCCCGTTGAAGGCAAACCATGACATTATTAATGAGCTAAAATGATAAATTGATTTTTTTGTTTTTTTCAAATAACAGAACGAAAATACCTCAACAACTTCTTCTGCCGTTTTAAAATCAAACTTGCGTATGCTGTCGTTGAATCTGAGAGGCGGCGTGTCGAGTATGTTTAAAGCGGATACCAGGTGGTTGCAGGAGTCTAAAATCTACAATAATGTCAGTAAGGTTAGTGATGGCTGAAACTTGGGGTAACATTGAGCTCCTAAGTACCTGGTGAAGCTTCCACTGGTAATCGTTTTGCACAATAGTTCGGTGATTTACTTGGGGATGCTTGTGCAATCGGATGTTGATATCCTGCAAAGAGAAGCCTGTTAGTTGTTTATAACGGTACACCAACAGACTGTGTGCTTGCATCGTACGGCATGAGCAATGTTGTCGCCGCACAAGGTGCATGACACCTTGATTTGGTCGTTCATCGAGTTGCTTGTGCTCAGCAATTGGTACTTCTCTGATTTGACCATGGACTCAATTCCAGGAATGTGCACTGGAAAGCGGCGACTACATTCCTGGTTAAAAATCACAGTTAGAAGGTGGCGATTTGTCCCTTTGAGCACATACTATGATGATGTTGTAGATCTGTTTGATGATGTTGTTTACCTCCTCCTTGAGGAGCCACTCAAATTCGGTATTCTAGAAGAAACAATCAAATATAGCAGTTGACAGATACGTAAATCCCGGTGAGAAAGATACCAAAGTGATGATTTCATCGTCAATAATGGAAGCCATAGCTGGGGAAGGCAGGTGGGGAACGGTGGTTGGATGAACACCCAATGCAGAGAAGCAGACGAGGGCCGTGAAGGGAGTGGGCGGAGTGGGTGTTTAGCACTGTGCACTCGGCACTGCTGCAGCTGCTGCTGTTGGGGTCAGCCGAAGTGTCTGGTGGTCGTCAGCTGTGGGTATCGAGGAGAAGTGGAGCGCACTCTCCGCCAGGCAGACAGCCACAGCTGAAGTGTGTGCCTGCCAATCACGGCCATCTCACGACGCCCGGCGGCACACCAGTGCGGCCAGATCACTGTGTCACACCTGCGCACTGGGCACCAGCGGCAGTACTGCCGCTGCCACTGCCACCACCAGACACACAGACAGACCCACTCTGGACCGTTCCATTGGGGTCTGTGCGGGTGCACATGGGAATGTGCTGGGGGACAGTGTACGCCGGCAGAAGACAGTGCACTGCCCTCCGCTGACTGATCATTCAGCGGTGGTTGTGGTCAGGCTGTGAGCACCTTGGTCACCGCTAATCCGGTTCAGTAGTGTATCTGCATATCTGCAGGCTACTCTGTCTCTCAGCGATAGATGATAGCCAGTCGAGACGAGTCGTCTGCTCTCCTTTCAAATGGATGCGCCGCGCTTCTCATTACTTCACTGAAGGGAGAAACTCAAATGTCGCGGTCGGCCTGATGAGTGAGCTTCCCCATCAGCGGTTGGCATCATCAGCCATACTTTGCAATCAATCATGAAATACTGACATGTATCACGCGTGTCTACCCGCCTGGTCGATCAGTGATCGTCAACGGTGGGTGAATTCTGCCGTTGTCCCGTAGATAAATGGCAAAGTTTGTGAGAGAGTAACTCGATTGCCTTCTCCCGCTACTGCTGCTGCTGCTGGCGATGCAGCTGGCCGTCAGTCACTTATCGCGCTTTATTTGCCTCACTATTCATTCATTTTACCTCTAATCTCACTCGATGTGGACGTTGATAAACAAGTGTCTTTACTTGAGCGTCCCTCTCTCATTCATTTGACCATAGAGGCTCGCTCGTTCAGCCACACTATTATTACCGATACTAAGGATGGTATTCTTTGCCGGCATCGAAGGGTATATCTATCGACAACTGTTTGCAGTAGACTTCCTTCCTTTTCCTTCTCAACATTTCCTTTTTTGCTTGCTTCCAGTGGTGCTTCCTTCTCCAAAGTGGTCCTTCTCGATGAGACCGGTAAGGTAGTTTCCTCTCTTGAGGAAGAGCCTTCATCAAACATTTGGGTACGACCAATCTGGCTAGTCAGTGACCAGGGGCAGCAGTGAGCAGTAGCACTGTCAACTACCCCACTGAGTGAGCCATCATCCCACTGACCACCTGTGTTTACCACTTTGCAGCTCATTGGCAAGAACGAATGGGCAGACCGCATCAACGCCATGATTGGCAAGGCCTTTACCGTTGCAGGCTTGCCGGCCACCAAAGTCCAGTGCTTAGTATGCTTGCAGTTCTTATTGTTTGCCTATCTTTCATCATCATTTTGGTACCAACTTCACCTGTAGGGACTTTGCCTTAGTGGCTGTGAAGATGCTGCTGAAAACGAGAAACTAGGTCAGTTTCTTAGTTCCAAATACCCGTCGTTGTGTGTCAACTGCAAGGTGGCCTCTGACACTGTTGGCAGCATCATGACAGCTAGTCCTGAGGGGGGAATTGTTTTAATTGCCGGTAAGAGAGGATGAGCAAGTTTTCTGTTTAGCTCTTCTTGCAGTCACTGTCACGTTGATTTATTTGTACACAGGCACTGGCTCCAATTCTCTACTGCTCAAAGCTGATGGGACTTCCACTCGCGTCGGAGGCTGGGGACATCTCATCGGCGATTACGGTTGGTGTTACTTCTCTTATCAAGCCATTTGATAAGATTTCTTGCACAACTTATACTCAGATTTAAATGCCAGGTTCTGCTTATTGGATATCGCAGCTAATGATTCGATATCTGATTGAGGACGAAGAGAACTTTAACCCTCTTCCGATGGACACGACGGAAGCTCGCAAAGCTGTGTTTGAACACTTTAATGTAAGTACTGAAAACTGACAGATACAATGACACATTCATACTTTTNGACGAAGAGAACTTTAACCCTCTTCCGATGGACACGACGGAAGCTCGCAACGCTGTGTTTGAACACTTTAATGTAAGTTCTGAAAACTGACAGATACAATGACACATTCATATTTTTTTGCAGATTTCCAGTACTATAGAACTGCTGAAGCCGCTCTATGNTTGCAGATTTCCAGTACCATAGAACTGCTGAAGCCGCTCTATGAAGAGTTCGACAAAACGCACTTTGCGCAGCTGTGTGCTCGCCTTGCTCAATGTAAGAGAACCAGTCAGTTTGGTTGCACCAGTTTTTACCCTAACTGTGTTCTTTTTATTTAGTGGCATCAGAAAAGAAGGACTCGCTGTCACTGCGAGTTTTTGAAGATGCCGGTCGGGTGCTGGGGCAGCACATTCTTGCTTTACTGCCTAAAACGGTAAGTGAAGATCATGACAGTGCATAAATATCTCAAATCTCGCCAAATAACTGACCACATTGGTGGAGAATTGCAGAAAGAAGAGGAACTTTCGGTGATTTGCGTTGGCTCAGTTTTTAAGAGCTGGAAACTGCTCGAAAAGGCTTTTCTCGAAAAGTTGGGCATCATATCAAAGCGAATCAACATTAGANCGGTGATTTGCGTTGGCTCAGTTTTTAAGAGCTGGAAACTGCTCGAAAAGACTTTTCTCAAAAAGTTGGGCATCATATCCAAGCGAATCAACATTAGGTACCTCACTCAATCAAGTGCCATTGGAGCTGCATATTTTGCAGCAAAGTCACACGGCGTCAAGCTGCCGATTGATTTCAGCAAAAACTACCACGAATTGTGCTGCTACCAAAATGGAAAAATACTCCAGTGATGACGTCGTTGTTGAAATGTTTTTTATAGGACCAAAACGTTTTTATTTTTTTATTTTCATATTTACACGTGACCGGGATTAATAAATCTTATTACAAATGTTCAGGATAAATGACTAGCATTGCTCAATTGATTGTAGCTGTTAGGAAAATACTATTATTTCCATGAGAGCACGTTACTGAAAGATAAAAGTAAATCACACGCTCTCACGCACACCTGTCAGCTAATTGCCAAAGCCGTTGTCGTTGTTGTTGTTGTTAGCGTTGATAAACCGCTGGAGATCATTGAGCGGCTTAAGTGGTCGTTTAGGCCATACGCGTGCTTTTTGCAATTGTAAGGTGTTGTTGTAAAAACTTTCCATGCGAATTAGCTGCGGATATATTTTTTGTTCTATCCATTCTGAAAATCATTTGATTTAGCAAAGGTAAAGAAAATGCCCTTAATAATTGGCTCCTCAAGGACTTACCGTATACGGTGAAATCATCGTAAACTTCACTGAGAGCAGAAGTTGCCATTTTTAAAAGTGCTTTCAGACTGTACATTACACTATAGTAGTTTTGAAGGCCTAAAAGTGAAATAGTTTGTGTTTAAAGTTCAGGAATTCATGAACATTTGGGACATCAAACAATACCTTCACTGATTCGATAAGGACTAGATATGTTGTGCCTGATGTTGTAGTCAGTTAACCAGGCTTTATGAATGGTAACATCGTAGAGATAGTCATTCACTTTTTTGTCTACGCTCTCAAACTCCTGCATGAGTCTGAATACATTTGCTCCGGGAAACTTGCAGTTGGATTTGGAAAAGAAGTTTGGATCTTGGACAAAAATTTTCNAACTCCTGCATGAGTCTGAATACATTTGCTCCGGGAAACTTGCAGTTGGACTTGGAAAAAAAGTTTGGATCTTGAGTGAAAATTTTTTCATTTGTGTAGAAATAATTTTTTTCACAATTCATTAGGTTGTCAAACTTGTCAAGTAAATTGCTTTCGTAGCGGCCATTGCTCACAGTAATTAAATTAAGAATAAGTGAAGGTAATCCAGCCTAAAGATTAAAAATAATATATAAGAACAAAAACTGGTAAACTGTCATCAAATCTTACCGGTAATAACTCGCAAAGAACAGCTAAACTATCGTATCTTTGCCAACCGGTAATTACCAAGCCTCGAATATTTTGAAAGTTGCCAGATTGCTCTTTCATTGCTCCTAGCCAGGCAATGTTATTATCAAGATGCATCTTAATGTTTGGAACAGTTAAAGTTTCACCGAAGGCACCTGAAAATAATATTTTAGAACTTACAGTTGAATAAACAAGTGAATGCTGCTAACCTTTGAATGCACTTGCACCCCACATAGCTCCGGAAATTTCCGAATAGGTGATCATAGTGCTATAGGGAATGAAGCGATAAATATCTGTAATAAAAATAAATTACCATGAATAATGTTGCTTGTCAAAAAAATTGTTGCAATAAAGTATACCATCAATGTACGTCCAGACCATAATTTCAACTCCAAGCTTTTTGAAATCGTATTTCTTTATCACTTCGGGTGAAAACTGTCTCAACATGTCATCCCAGATGATTGGGTTTACGTTGTGTTTGCTTTTAACATACTTTGCAATTTTTTCAACTGAAAATGTATAAAATAATGTTGCAGTGCAATTGATATTTAGCAGCAATTTTAAAAGTTTACCATGACTTAGAAAGATTTCATCGTGATCTTTGTTCTTGCACTGGTCACACATTCCTATGTGATACACTTCATCGCAGCCAATGTGCAGCCATTTTGAGTCTGGGAACATTGCCATCACTTGATCAATGATTTGGGTAATTAGTTTGTACGGTTCTTCTCGAGAAGGACATATTGCCTGTTTGGGACTAGCAGTTTTAGTAAAAAAAACTATTAACACTTCTTAAAAATGTACCTGAGGAAATTCATCGACCTCTCTCATGTGCCGATATTTTTGCAATTTGAGAAACGATTCTAAATGACCAAAGGTTTGAATGAGCGGAATAACAATCAGATCATTTTGCTTAGCAAGTCTATTGATTGTCTGAACGTCTTCTTTTGAGTATGCATTGTCGGCAGCTGCATCCGCGAGATCACCATCAAAAGGAAACATGTCCTCAAACTCCAGGAGAAGGCCATTTGCGCCAGCTTTGGCCAAAAGTGGAAAAATCTAATGCAAGTGTCAGTACTGGCTGTCAACAAATTGGGGTGACTCACCTCGCGAAGAAAGGAGATTTTAGGCGGCGCTCCTTTCAAGTCGAGATGCACCATTCGAAGCTGTGGCACGTATCTCTTTGTCAATGTGCGATACCTCTCCACTGGAGATTGTGAATACTGAACCAGCACAGACTCTTGATTGTCGCTAATCTTGTTGATGTGACTCTCCACGTCATTCTCCCTACTCCATCCGACGCTGAGCTTGGAATTTATATCTGCATTGATAAACTTAGTTTCGCCAATGTTCCGCCACTGTTTTGCCGGTCCTTCTGTGTATGACGTCGATGCACTTGATCGTCGGTGCTTATTTGAAAACAGTGACATCGGTGATAAGACCGAAATACTGGTACCCTGCATAAAAAAATTCAAACATTATGATTAGAAGGAAATTGTAAACATCCTTCATCTGGATGGTAATTACCGTGTAGCTAACAGTGATGATTAGAGAAACGAGAATGATAGCGATAAAGATCAGGTGCTTACGGCGCCAGAGGCGATTCGTTAAATGAGCAAACTTGGGCACCACTGAACTGCTCATCTTAAGGCAGTAGGTGTCGGTTGGAAAATGATGGTAGAAAATTAAAGGCAAATGAGTTGTAAACACAGGTGAGGCAAGACAGTGTTCATTCTTGTCAGAACTGAGCTATCTGCTGCTGCCAAGTTAAAGGGAAAGGTAAAGGTGGGCTGGCTTTGATTGTACGATTAGCAGTGTGAGGGTAAGTAAACACAAGCAAGTCAACACAATAGCTGGCGGCTGTCCTCACTTCCAAGCGGCACATCTTTCCTCGGCTCAGATGCACCTCCAATTGATAATGCCGACAATGTCGTTTGTTCACCTGAAACCGAGCAGCACATAGAGAATTTTACTGTACTACAAAACACACCGAAAATACAAATGACACACGCGAAGAAAGCTTTCGGCAAGGTGTGCGATGAGCTGCGTCTTGAGTTACCCCACCAGCACTGTGCCTCTCTGCGACTGCTCTCACTTCAGCTCGCAGAGAGTTTCTGGCAGCTCTCGGGAAAGAACCGAATAGTGCTGCTACGTCTTTTTTCTTCCATCCTTTACAAAAATGGCTGTCGCTTAAATTTAAATTTAATTTTAAGCCCGCATAAGCTGGGTGAACATGAGCTGTAGCAGATCGATGAAGCAGGTGGTGCAGCTTAGTGCACACATTGCTTACACGGGTGACTGTAAGTGCTTAGCGAGCAGTTGCATCTTGCTTGAATTGTACTCCTTCAGACTTTTCTGCATAAAAAGATGCTCCAAAAGTTCACTGGCGGTGAATCGGCGTGACTGCTCATTATGCAGACAGGCGTTAGAGACAAAGTGGTGAAAGTCGTCAGAGAAGCTGCGCTTCAAGTAGTGAGCATAGCGCTTCTGCAGGGTAATTTCCATCTTGTCAGTGTACTCTCGAATGATTTTCATCTCCTCGCAAGTTGAGTCCAAAGGGCGAGGAGTCTCGCCGATGATTTTGTAGAAAAGCAACTGATCTGGCTGCATATCTCCAAATGGTGCAATTCCGTTGGCAAGCTCACAACACGCCAGCCCCACAGAGTAAATGTCCGATTTGAAGCTGCTGCCAATAATGTTCTGCTCGAGAATTTCCGGCGCCATGCACTTGAGGAGCTTTGAAGCACTCTTTGGGTACTCATAAGACTGCAGCTCCGATTGTTTAGACATATCATTGCTGAACTTCAGACCAGTCAAGACAAACTTGACAGAGTTTTTCAAATCGCCAAAGACTAGAATGTGTGAACACTGAACGGCACTGAAAAACAAAATACAAAACTTGAATGGGCTTCAGATGATGCTTAAAAAATAACCTGTGTATGATGCTGCTGCGATGCAGATAATCAAGTCCCTTAAGAATGTCAGCCATAACAAAGGCAACCACTGATTCCGGTAGTCCGAATGGTTGACATTGAAGGTCCATCGACTTGTGAGCGCTGTAAGGGAAGACGGTGTAGAACATCTGGCTTCCGTGCAAAAAGCTGCAAAACATCTTCAAAACGTTTGGATGCTTCGTCAGGCGACTGATGTACAGCTCATTCTTGTACACTTCCACATCGATTTCGCTCATAGTTTCGACGCGAACCGCGCAAGTTAACTGAAGAGGAGTAAAAGTGCCTTTAAAGATGGTAGAGCTTGAATTGACTGCGTTCCTCTCTAGCTGGTAGTCATTGATGTTCGTCGTAAATAGATCAGGATTAAAAGCGTAAAATTCTGCCATTTTGTCCAAATCAGTGTCACAGCGAAAAGAGCATTTTATTTGGATGTTCACAGACTTTATTGCCAAACTTGTTCTACTTTGAAACTTTTGAAACATTTTCGTTGGTTTGTTCGTAGAACTTTTTAAGCAACTCAATAGATCTTTGGCCATTCAACGCGCCAGAAATACATTTTAAAGGTTTACACTTTATTCGTTCATCAGTGTCCACCTTGTAAACCGATCCGGCGCCACCGAAGCGATCGTTTTGAGCACCAAAAAAGACTGCTTTGACTTGAAGCATTCGCAACATTCGGCAGCACATGATGCACGGCTCCAATGTAATGAGTACCACTGTTTGCTTGAATACTTCTTCATGACAGTCTGGAAATCGATTTACAACTTGACTTATACAGTCCATTTCAGCATGTTTCAGCGCACATTTCAGCTCATTTGTCCGGTTGTGTCCTTTGGCAATCACCTTTCTTTGATTCTGATGATCCCAAACAAAAACACAACCGACTGGTACTTCGCCACATTTGAGAGCTTTTTCAGCTTCGATAAAGCATGACTCTATCAGATCACTGTCCAAATCAGATACCGAAAGCTCCATGAGGAACAACTTTTTTTGACAAAATTAAAAAATGATTGTTTTCATTTGGTGAATACACCTCTTCACACCAGGTGGCAGACCAAAACATCTCTCGACCACATGTTTTTGTTTCCCAAATCTTGGACGATTCTTACAGAAGAGGAATAGATCCTAGTTTTTTCTCTTTTCAAATATGGATCGCGTCCTAGAAGCCCTGTTAACTGATGAAAATTGCTCAGACGATCTAAGGTTTGCTTACTACTTGTTGTCGTTAGAAACGACACACACTGAGGTAACTATTCTTTAAAACTTTGTAACTCGATTTATAATATTTTGGTCTTTCTCTAGGACAAAACAGCTCAAAACATTGTGAAAAACGTCAAGTCATTACTGTCGTCCTCTAAAACTCGATATCGAGGCTTAGTGTTTTTGAGCAATTTACTGGAACGCCTCAGCAGCGATATTTTCATTGAAAACTCTTCTGTCTTGATTCAACATGTTTTTAAAGTTTTGCAGGTATTTTCATGCGCTAATTAGTTTAATTTAAGCACTTTACCCATTTATTTTTAGGAGTCAAAAATTGTTGAGGAAAGGATTTTGGGATATAAAGTCCTGACCCAGTTTTTTGCCAAGATTTATCGATTAGATGCTCAAACTTTGACTCGTGAACTTGGAACATGCATTATTCCACTTTTGACTCAATGTATAGGCAATATGAAATATGGTGATATTTACTATGCTTCAAACTGGCTCTGCGCCTGTGCCTCATTGTTTCCATCACCTGTGTCTGCGAAAAGAGCCTTTCTAGAGATTAAAATAATCGACGCTGTTAACTTGATTTCGGAAGACGATGGCGACATTAAAACTTTAAAAGTATGATATCTGTTATCTAATCAACGTTGAATATTTTAGCTAATGTTATTTTTGTAAATTACTAGGTGTTAGGTTTTGCTTACGCAAAAGTGATGCTTGCTGGAAATCTAAACCTTCAAAAGTATCGCGAGTTTTTCAGCAAACTCTTGAATACATTCGTCCAGCACTTCGACTTTTTCAACGTTTTCTCAATAAGTAAGTTTTGCTCTTTTTTGATAGTTTGATAATTCAAACATTATTATTTGCAGAGAAACCTAATTCGTTTGCTGTGCAGTTTGAAAACGATCAATGCATAACTCAGTTTTGCAAAGAAGGTTCGGACATTTTTCTTGACCCACTTAAGAAAGCTCGACGACTGCATTTTCTCACTTCTGCAATCTGTGCTGTGATTACTGGACAGTATTCAGGCACTATTCCGCTTCCAGTAGAAGGCATTCTTGAATGTTTAAACTTGTTCATGCTCATCTCCAACGGAAACATTTCTGAAAATCATTCGGTAGACGTTTTTGCCATAGGACACGTTATTCCAATTCTTTATGAAAACATTTTTATCATATTGAAAGCTCTTCTCACAAGGTAGTTTTGTTATTAACTTTTTGTAAGTTTGTATTAACCTAACATTTTGTTGTTTTAGCTGCAAAAACAGTCTTATTCCCTTTACTCGGCTCATAAACCGCATTTTAATTTCGACAATCGAGTGGCTCGACCAACTTAAGTCAACTGAAAAGCAACTCTACATGAACCTTCGATGTTCCGTATACTCTTTTTTAGAGTTGTACTTTAATGTTGTTGGAGGTAAAATGTGCTTACCAAAGTCTGAGCTTCAACTTATCGCCAAGCATCTTGTGGAAAATGTCAAAATGCATAAGCAAAATATAACGGTAATATAAAACTAGTTCATATATTTATTGACTCTTTTTAATTTTTTGTTTTATAGTTTTTTAAGAACAGTAACAATCAAATGAATTCATTGGCTGCGCAAAATGCCTGCAAAGAACTTCAAGAAAAGGCTACTTTAAGTGCGATACGAGCTATTAATCGACTTATCAGTTCACTGGGAAATACTTTGGATCCATCTGCTTATACCCTATTTCAAAATGAAGTCATTATTGCTCTACTGCAAATTTATAGGTATATTTTAATTTAAAAAAGTTTTGTTTTGATTTTAATTTGTTCTTTTTTAGGGGCTGGTTTAATTTGTCTTCTCCTTACAAAAACGAAAAGTGTCGACAAGGGCTTATTGAAATGCTTACATTGCTTCTACAGAACATACCACCGAGCATCACTCCACCTCTAGAGACTTCTATTTTACTATTTCGACAGGCTTATCAAATTGACAAATCTCCAGCTGTTCGATACTTGGTGGAAAATTGCTTCAATTTGGTAAATTTCATCTTGAGCTCGCGTCTTTCTCCAGATTATGCTGATGTTTCAGTTAAGAATTTGCTTTTGGAGAGCCTTCAGCCTTCAGAACGTTTAAGCACTTCAAGTTTTATGCCAAGTGAAGAAGGTGTTAAAAGCGCTGTTCCGAAAATGCAGAAGGAAGCAAATTTTTCTTTGATCAAACCAAAAGTTGAAGCAGTCAGTTCGGAGAAGCCTAAAACTTCAGACTCTTCTTCTGCTCAAGGATTCAAACGAAAAAACGAAACTTCAGCCGATCCAGTAACTAGTGCTCGAAAAATCGTTAAGCCGAAACAGACTGTCAATTTAAACGACAGTGATATTATTTTTGAGGGTGCTTTTGAAAGAAAAGAAGCTCTATCTAAATCAGCTTCTGAGGAAGCTGAAAAGTTTGACAAAAACGCTTCAAAGTACGAAGAAACTACCGCTAAAGTAAGTTTACCACTTACAACTTCTATCGAAGAGGTAGATTCTTCTTCCACTTCATCAAATGAAACGGTTAATAAAATTGGAGAGACAGCTGAAGCATCAGAGGAAGTCGACGATGCATTAAAATACTTTATTGCCGAGTAAAAAGGTATGAGTGATCAATAAAGGTTTTTATGACAAAGGAGCGATATCGTTTTATTTAAACTTTTATTTTAAATAACAATTCATTTTTACATATAAAAATAAGTTTCAATTTACACTTGTACATAGTTTTAGTAAGTTTTTGTTCAGTAGTAACCATCGTAGTAATTTGTATGACATGGAAGGTTTGAGGGCTGATGACCGTAGAAACTGTTACCTAAGCCCTGGTCTGTGCTTTTGTGAGTGCCAAATTGATACCGGGAAAGCGATGAGGTGGGCGCCATGACCGATCTGTCGGTGGCAGTCTGGTGGTAGTGGTTGTTGTTGTTGTTGTTGGCCAGAGGATATGTCGAAGTGTGCCAGTTAGTCGACTTGCTACTGTGGCTCGACTGCTGACCCGAACCACCATACTCGCCAAAGTAGAGACCATTGCTTTTGCAGCTGTAACTGTTGCTGTTCAGTGAGTGGTTTAGTGAACCGNGTTGTTGTTGTTGTTGGCCAGGGGATATGTCGGAGTGTGCCAGTTAGTCGACTTGCTACTGTGGCTCGACTGCTGACCCAAACCACCATACTCGCCAAAGTAGAGACCATTGCTTTTGCTGCTGTAGCTGTTGCTGTTCAGTGAGTGGTTTAGTGAACTGTCGCCGAATGAGTTTCCAAATGAGGCATACTCATTGGGCGTATACTGTCCGTAGCTGTGTGATGGCTGACTGTGCGGGGCATGGTTCACCTTGGGGCAGTGATTCTTGACGCCCTGATCATTCTGCCAATTGCCGGCGTTGTTGTTCATTTTGTAGTTGAGGTTGAAATCGCTGACTGTCGGGTAGTAGTTGTGGGAGGGCTGAGAGTGTTGGGAGTGCTGAGTGTGGTAGGACTGTTGATTGAGATCAGTTTCATAGGCGCCTGCATAGGCGGGGTAGTTACTGACTGCCACTGGTGTCTGCGAATTGGAGTGCTCAAAGCAGTTGCTGTTGCTGTGATTGTGGGTTGAGTGTTCGACAAAAGACGGGTAGTGAGGGTAGTTTGAAGCAGGGTAATCACAAAAGGAGGCTGATAAGTCGCCTGATTTACAGTGGTATGAGTTTGCCATGGAATTCTGTGAAAGGGGGGAAGAGGTAGGCGTGGGTAAGGAGGACAAATGGGACATACTTGTGCTCCCATAGACATTGCTCATTGGCGGCACTGTCGACATGGGAGTGTTTGCCATGGGAGCCATCGGACTGGCAGCTATCCTCTTGTGATTGTGATTGTGCCCATGGCCACTTGATGCGACTGAGTTGGGCGAGTTGTGTTGTGAGCTGTTGGAATGTGGGGGAGGAGTGGGAAAGAAAGAAGGGTTTTGGATGGCTGAAGGACAGGTAGACTTGCTGCTGGACATCGGGGCTGGGCCGCTATTGCTCCCGCTAATTAGGTGCTTTGTGGAGGTAGGTTGGGCTTTGTGGCTGGGAGGGCTCATCGGCGATGGGTTCGTCGCACTGCCCGAGCTAACAGCATTTGGACTAGGAGAGCCTGTTTGGTTCTGCTTTTGGCTGTGTTTGAAGCGAATGCATATCCGGAACTTGCACGCCTGCTTTATAACATTTTGCCCGCCAAACTTCTTCTTATCGAGGCAGTAGGTGCATTGACCACAGTCCTGTGCTCTGCAGCCTTCGCACTCTTTACAGCGGCTTTTCTTGCCGTTCATAAGTTTGCTGGCGTCCTTATAGCTTCCGTAATCCGAACTCGATTGCATGCCCATCATACAGTGGCTTAGATCAAAGTTAGCCATGCTCTGCTCTGACCTATGATCAAAGGTATCACTAGTCGACTCTGAACCACTGGTGGCCACACTTGACCTATTGTGGTTGCTGTTTTCATGATTTTCTCCAAAACTGTTCTCTTCCCCTCTGAACGAGTATTCATTTGGGGATTTAGTATCAGACAAAAATGAGTTATTTTGAGTGTGAGTAGTTGTTGGAGAAGTAGTTGTTGTCGGTTGTAATGTTGACTGCTGGCTGATTGAATTGTCTTTGTTTGAGGTTTCATTGTTATTGAGTGGGTGTGAGTAGATAGAACTATCAAAGTGGTGAAGGGAGTTACTGTATGTGGCCACAGGTGCTACGATGGGTTTGCTTTTTTCGGCACAGGGTGACATTGAGGGAGAGGAATGTGAAGTGCTCGATGATGAGGAGGAGTTT